TCGTGCACGGAGGAGTCTGTGTACGGGTCTACCGTGATGAGCCGGACGGTGGATGGGACAACTCTGGCCATGGGGAGGTAGGGGGGATCGAGTAGTTTCCACCGGGTGGTGGGGACCATGCTGTAAATGACTTTAGCAGTGCTGCCGAGGTTGTCGAGGAGGTCCGTGTATGTGCGGTCGTCATCCAAGCGGATGACATTGTAGAAGGACAACTGCGAGGTGGTGTAAGGGGGTGGAAGGAAGACGGACAAGTGCGATAGAATCAGCTGGCGGTGACGTGTGTGATGGGAGGTGTTGCGGTTGTTTGTAAGGGGGAAGTGGATGTGCAGGTGGAAATACCTAGGCTGGATATCTTCCAATATGCTGCGAGCTAGAAATCAGTTTCGGTGCACTAGGTATGTGCTGCCCCAATGAACGTGAGCACTGGCTTCAGGTATGCATCCGTGTGAGTGGCGAGCCCTCTGAAGCACTGCGAAATGAACTCGAGGTAGCTGCCGCCCATCCCGTGGACTTACCGCCCGTCCAAAGTAGTTGCCAAAGCGGTTGAGGATGTCCTTGAGGCGCTCGTCATCGATAAGAATGATGACGATGCGGCTGGCTGGGAGTGGCAGGTCGTTGTTGAAGCCCTTGTGCTCCCATCCAAAGATAGCCTTGTACAGCGTACCCTTCTTCAAGCGCTTCATACGGTGGAGCCTGTCTGGCAGGTCCTCTGATCCCGCGGTTGCGGCGAGCACCATGCTCATATCCGGCCGCGGTGTGCTGCATGGGTGTGTCCGTTTGGTAATGGGATGCGTCAAGAGGTGGTGGCACAGTTGAGGTGGTGGCTCATGTGCAGGAATTGGAAGGCATGAGCAGTTGCCACATTATGGTTATGGCAAAAGAACGACTGTGAGCAGGTTGAGTCGTGTAGATGCGCGTGGTGCATTCGATGTTCTATTGCATCAAGTTGGCTTAGGGGTGGCGGTTGGACAGGCTGAGCAGCATGAAGTGCAATCATACCTGGGCGTGTTTTGTGTGGTGGTGGTTGATGCACCGGCGCTGCTGGCAGACAGTGGCGTGGCTGGCGGGTCATCAGCCGTGATCTCTTGGCGCTTGTTTGCCCTGGGAGTGTTTGGTAGGCGGGTTGGCGTATTGCAGGGGTGTAGTAAAGTGTGGTATGATAGGGTGTCATGGTGGCCCGAGGATAGGTGCGTTCAGCTCCCGGCACGGCGCGACTATGGTGGCTCTCACGGCTGGAAAGGCGCATTTCGGCGCCCGGATGGCGCGGCGCGATAGGTGCATTTTGGCGTACGTATTGAATTGTAGATCTAAGATGGAGCATCTGAGTCAACGGCCTAGAGACGTACCTGTCTGGTGATGGCGAATGCGTGCGTTTGTTTTTGTAGTTGTCGTCGAGGCGGTTGTGCTGTGGAGGGATGGATGCAGGTAAGGGAAAGGTCCGTGAGTGCAAAAGTGGTAACAGTTGGGAGATGAATGGGGTGGCAGGCCGAAGTTGTACGTGAAGGAAGAGATGAGTTCGGAGTGGAACTGAACACCCATAGTTGCATGGCCGTTGAACGCATGAGACTTACACGTCGTTTGCAGGATCTGGCTTGGCAGCGGAGATAGAATTTCCGTGTTCGTTTGTTTGTGCCCGGCTGCATGTAGGAATGAATGGGGGTGGCAAAAGATGTCAAGAAGGTTTGCTGTGAGGCTGGCCAAGGCTGCCATGACGTGAAGCATGATTTTTGTCGCGAACAAATATTGCATGTGATGCTAGGATGCTGGCAAAGAAGCGTTGTTTGAAGCATGCAAGGAGTGAGCGAGGCGCGGTATAGTGGGTTTGAAAAGGCAAGCCTGCAGGTTGCATGGCGTGGTAGCAGGATATTTTATATATATGCCTGTTGAGAGCAGTAGTGGTCTCACCTTGTGTTGCCAGGATCGCGTCCTTGACTCCGTAGCGAGTAGCTCATGACCAGGTGTCTCGACCAGAAGAGCGATGCACTGAACGAGGAAAAAATTTGGACGGAATGGCAGGAAGGAATGTGTCCGGCGGCATGGGCAGATGTTATGTGCGTGTTGAGATGTATGGGCATGCGTGAAGAGTGTCTTGGAATATGTACCGTCCGGTACACCATGGGTGGAAAGGGAGGCGGTGTGTGGTAAAAAATTTAGAGGAGCATATGGTGAGATTTTTGCGGGAGGGAAAGGGGTGGGCATAGGGCTGTAACCCTACAATAAAGAACTCCGTAAATCTTATGGCTCATCCACAACCAACGTATTTCTGCCCGCCATGGACGCCATTGTACCCACGGTGCACGGTGCACGGACGACAAGACTGACGGCCTCACACCTGACACCTGGTACTTCGAGGGTGCCATGTTCCTGCTGCCGGACACCACCAGGGACAGTGGCGCCTCTGCTGGCGCCTGCCGCAACAACCTGGTGCAACCTTGATCACTGACCCCCGTGAACCACAGGATCACGGCACAAGCCCCTTCTGGCGCCTCAAGTATCTGCCCCAAGCTGTGCTGGTCACGCCTGCAAAAACCGTGGGCAGCGCCAACGTCTTCAAGGGGGAGGAACTCTTCGAAGATGTGCAGCATGCCTTCCCGGTCTGCCCATGCGCCACGAAGTACCCCCTCAATGTCCACACCCTCGACGACCAGGGCAGGGAGACAGTCCTCAGGGTGCGATGTCGCAACGTCCCTCTCGGAGACGCCTATGCTGTCACGGACTTCTTCGTCCAGGGGTGCAGTTTCAAGGATGACTGCTGGACCGTCGACCTCTGCCCACCGCCAACTGGCATCAAGTGTGCATGCCTCTTTGTCATCCTCATGCGCTACAAGTCCATGGACCATATCCGCCTCCTGCACCCACTCTACAACAACACCTATGAGAAGGCACAGGTCATCAAGGCGTTCACCAAAGCAGCCACCATCCACCCGGACCTCGACACAGAAAGCAAACTCCAGACCGCTGCTGCACAATGTACCCGGGAACAACACACAGCACTCTTCCAGGAAGCACAGCGACTCGTCGACAGCTGGACCGCGAACCGCCCACCACACAACTGCGACCGTGACAGACTGGGACTGTACTCATGCATCATGGGGATGCGACACGGCCCCATGTATGCACTACAGTGAGGCGGTGAGGACAGGCACCCGCCCGGACGTGAGAATGCAACGGCACTAGAACACGAGAACACAAGCACGCGTCCAGGGCGTGGCAATAGCTGGGTTCTGCTCATGACGACCATCAAATGCAGGAACATCCGCGCAGACTGCTGTTACTCCGCTGCTGACAATGCTGCCACCACGGTGATTTCATGCAATTAGTGTGATGCGAGCCTAGGCGGCATTATTCACTTCACCGTTCACAATCCGCGGACATTCCTTGTGCCGTGCTGCTATCAGGGCCCCTCGTCGATTGCTGTTATGGGTCGTTGCTGTTGGATGCCGGACGTGAACCCCGAGGATGCCTTCTGCTACGGCACTGCTGGCTGTGGCTTGCTACTAAGCCACCCTCCATCACAGATGTAATGTAACTGAGTCCTCGCCACTGCTTCCCCACATTATTACCGTTCTCACCTACGCACCACACAGCACCTTACGCACCACACACCCACAGCTGGCCTGGAGTCGAAGCTACGGTCCCCTTCACGGCGCGCCGCGGTATTCGTATCTGGTTTGATGTGGGACCGATCGCCGAGATGGCCGATGTCGGTGCATGCACTGACGATGGCCAGGCTTTTGGCAGACGGGTGTGGTGCAGCCTGCAGGGACCGCGTTTGGTGATATGTGCCCATGTGTGTCAAGCGGGGAACGTGAGGCCCGTTGTGGTGCTGTTGAAGATGGGCAGGGCTATACCTGGACAGCTGGTTATGGTGCTCTTCGTTATGGCCGGTTCCACAAGGTTCCAGGTAAGCAGGGGCGCCTTGCTTTGTGAAGACATCTCTCGGTGTTCGGTTTACCGTATTGCTGACCCATGGGTCGAAGTGTGCGAACGAAATCGACCTGGACGAAGTGCATGTTTGGTACTGGCATTGGCGACCATGTAAATGCTTTCACCGGACTGTCTGTCATAAGTCATGGGCCATAAGTAAGGGCACATCACGTAGGCAACTACGGACAACCACACCATCCGTCCTCGGTCTGTTGCAGTCCTGTTCGTATTCCCCATCCTGCAGCTGCAGCCTGAGCCCTCATCTTACAGCAGGACACCCATCCTAATCCTCCAGCTGCGTCCCCGATCCTCATCCTGCAGCAGCGAGCCCATCCTAAACCTGCGACAGCCTGCAATCCCCATCCTGTCAGCCAGGGTTCCCATCCCCAGCCTCACCCTGAAGCAATCCTATTCCTTGCCTTTGCCCGTAAACCCAATCCTGACGTCGTCACCCTATTCCCCATCCCGCCTGACCAGTACCCGCCCCCAATCCCCAATCTTTGCAACCGTACCGGTCAGCCATCCTCTAATCTTAACAGTGGACCACTTCTAGACACATTGTCATTTCTACGATTGATCATACCATACAGCACCATCCACCATTACCACACTGTACTACGCCATACGAACTGGAAGTCCAAGGCGGTTGATCCTGCCTTTTAGGAACCCTCCTCATCCATTCACCCGAACATCCGCAGAGACAGAGAATTCAGCAATCGCCACCATTCCAGCGTGCGAAACTTGATCCATCAACTGTAACATCAATTCCATATCTCAGCAGCTAGCCATAATCTCGCGCTCCCGACAATGTCGAGGGTCTCCCCAGGAATCGTACCCAGGACTCCATTTTGTTACCTTGATCGAAGCACATGATGGTATTGCGCCTGGTCTCTGTCCGTCTTTTACACCAATGAAGCTGATGCCTAAATCCCTCACCCAGCTGCTTCTGCCAGAGGCCTGCAAAGGGGTCCTAATCCTGTGGCCGGACCGCAATCCTAATCCTGCCCGGCGGGGGCCCAAATCCTAATCCTGTTGGCCGTGTCGTAATCCTTGTCATGGAGCTGTATTGCAACCGAAATCGTGTGGCTGGTTCGTTAACCTTAATTTAGGCTTGGGGCCCCAATCCTAATTCAAGGGTGCCATGACACGGAAACACACACACTGCGATACAGGCGCGAGGCGATGGCAATGCAAGTGCCAATAAAATACAATATTACAGCGGGTACATGATGAAATGAAGTAAAATTGGAAACATAAGAAAACAGGCTGACGAAGCTGCACATTGTGCAGTGCACAACCTGACCATTTCTGCAGTACCGTGCCGTATGACACGCCAGGAAGAGTTTAAACAGGACATCACGTCCAAACACCTTGATTCAAGCACCTACAGATGTGAATGTGGGGCAGTCGAAGATGAAACGTACGTTTTTACTGAATGCCGGGCTTACACAAGTACACGGGCTAAATATGAACGTGACCTTGTGTTTCAAGGGCACGACTTGCACACGATTAGGACAGAGGCCCCACCCCTGGCACTAACCGGGCTCCTGTCGGACATTTGGGAGATCCGGAGCTGCATGCAGCTGCATGCTGAAGCGGACGAGTGAGGATGATGTAGATCCACCACGTAACCGCACTAACAACGATTTACCGCCCATGGACCCCCCGGCCTCCAGGGACACCCCCGCACACGTGTGGAACTTGTAACTTGTAACTTGAGAAAACCCAGGATGCATCCACACTGATCCACACACCCAGAAGATATGCACGTAATATAAAGGAATGTGTTTCAAGCCACGCAGTTCACCGAAGCCCAGATATGTACAAATCAGCCACATGCAGAGAGGTGCCGTACAGGTTGCGGAGGGTTACGGCACGTTCCAGCTTTGACGGCATATGAATAGCGGACCCTTCCCTGCACATCTAGATGAATACACGCACTTCGCACTTGATCGCACACATCAGGGGTGTCAAAGGTCTGAACCATACACGTGAACCATCACAACGAAGTACGCGAGTGGTATGACAGTGGCCATGCAACGATTGCTATTAATATTGGCCAGTCACGTACTGAAGAGTAAAAAATCCACACGTCACTGCCCACTAAATGCCCGTTCCCCATATAATCGCATGGAACGCACATACAGGTCGCCAGCACATTTACCCACATCAAAGCTGACCCTAATCACGGACGGCTGACCAAAGCCGACATCCGCAACCGCTACAACATACACAGCCCGCCTGCTTCACTTCATGAGGTACAGCAACTCGCTGTTCTTCTTGGCGTTCACAATGTCCGGGTACGCAAGTGTGAGCTCCTTTGTGCCGTACAGGATGTTGTCAACGCACTCCACACCCAACATCAGGCTGTGGTCCTGGTTGGCTACTTCGTACTGCGTACGGCAGGAACAGATCAGGGCGATAAGGGTGATAAGGGTGCAGTACGACTCGTGTAGGGATATCAGTTTGGGTTATACTGGGAAGTTCAGGCTGCGACAAATACGCTGGGCTTCAGGCCTTGCGGCAAGGTCATGCCCTCTCAATACGGCCATGGCCTACCTTGTAGCTGCCAAAGCGGCCGCGGCTCCAGATCCCGAACTGCTGCAACCAGGGCAGCGCCTTCTCTAGAACCTCGTCGCGGCCCAAAGAAGGGGTGGGATAGCCGTGCTCGATTCGGCGGTGGTACAGCGACACTACCTCGTCACCTGGCTTCGTGAGCTGGGTGTTGATAGCGCCGATAAGCGTGTCACGGACGACGTCGGACCTGCCAGGACGGTGCGACCCACAAGTTAACAGAGTACCCCAATACTGCTAGCCGATTCGCTAGGATGCGGCCTCACAACGCAATACTCTGTAGCGGTCCCCACCCGCTTCCCACTGACCAAGTGCCCGCGGTGCCGCCCAGTGTGACCGGCTCCTGGTTGACCGGCTTGTAGCTGGATTCGCTAACCTCAAACATCAGCGACCAGTAGGGACCCTCCTTAGGATCGCTGCTGGCTGGCGCGCTGCCGTCGCCCAGGCACAGGGTAGGCAGCTTTGCGTCGTCCGCCGGGCAGTTCAACTTCGCGTAGTTGGAGAACACCGTGCACCTAAGGAGATCACATGCAAAGTAGGCAAAGGTGTCAACCATGAAGGCCGAAAGGCTCCATGAGCCGTCAGCGTCCTGACGCATTGCGGTCTATTTGAGTTTAGTCCAGGCTAACAAAACAAACGGACTAAAACGTTGGACATACATTTCGGAAGGCCGGCCATCGGCTGGTCCTGGCCGCTCAAGACGATAAACCTTGAGAACACCCACCGGTAGAACGGGCAGTTGCTCTCCGGGAAGTATAGCCAGCACTTGGTTCCATGCGGGCACTCCCCACGGATGCCAATGCCGATGATGTGAGAGGAGCTGTGCTGCAACCCCTTGGCCCACTCCTCCTTGCCCAGCCATGTCAGCGTCAGGTCCAGCGGAATGGTGGACACCAGCGCGTCGTACTGGTACTGGTGCCCGTTCTCCAGCGTTAGCACCTTAGCGTCCTTGTCAATGGACACCACTTTCTGGCCGTAGCGCTGTGGGTTTCGGAATTTGTGCCGCCGATCAATATATTACACCGAGAAACTTATTGATATGTACCACGCGGGACTTCCTGGCTGACCGGGTACAGTCGGTACGAATGCTGAGCTCGAGTAACTTGCAAAACAAAGTGAGGAAACCACATCCGATCATCATAGCGCGCCTACTTGTAAGGATCCTATCCATACACCACACTAGGCTACGTTAGGGCGCCGCATTTTACCTGGCGCTCCTCGGGCAGCAGTTTGGCGACACCCTTCCAGATCGCCCCGGTGCCGCCCGAAGTAGGGAACCGGAAAACTGCATTAGGTCCCCAACCGGCGTCCTCCTTGTTGTTAATGACGTTCGTGATGGCGCGGTCCACGTCCACGGTGGCCACACGCTCGCCCAGCCAGTTGCACTGCATAAGACTGGTCGGAATTGCCCACACCTGCAGGGGCAACACAGTGCCATGGCACATGTAATTCGCATGTCCTGAGGCCAAAAGAAGGCACAGGTAAATCCGTACAAGAAGCAGATGGAGATTTCGGACTATGATACCTTAGGGTTTTGATGACGGAAGATAGTATTAGGACAGGCATGGCCATTGCCTGCCGTACCTTAAAACTGTACGGCCGCATGAACAGGTCGGCGATGCCAGGGCCCATCACGCGCAGGATCCACTCGTCGAAGTTTTTCGGGCGTCCTTGCGCAGTCGCGTTAGCAACCTTAGCCTCCACCAACCCGGTCAGGCATTTAATCTGCGTGGGAGAGCATTGTAGGTGGTAGCCATGCAGTGGTGTCCCGCTGGCTGTCCCGCTGGCTGTCCCGCTGGCTGGTTTGCCTGCCCGAAGAAGAGCGTACCTGGTCATCCTTCGGCAGGGCACTGATGTTGTTTTGGAAAGGGTACGCAACCCAGCGGTCGCGGATCCACACGTACGAGACGCGCTGTAGCGTGTTCCACGCTTCAGGTCCGGAGCCGAGGGCACAGTCCAGCAACTCGTCGAAATAGTTCCAATGGCTGAAAATGACGTGACCGCCCATATCAAAAAGAAACCCCTCAGGCGTAACGTCTGTGCAGGCTAAGCCACCCGCCTCGGGAGCCTGCAGCAACAGGTGATCATGCAACTTTGCAAGCTCCCACAACGGATACACAATCTTATGTTCTCCAAGAGCCAATTTTACGAAATTCTGTAGAGCCAATCAAACCTGCAAAGGACCCACCGCGTCGATGAGGAGCCAGTCTTTGTGGCCATGCTGCTGCAGGCGAGTCGCAGCGCCAAGCCCGGTTGGCCCAGCACCCACAATAAGAACACCGACCTGGAAAAAACATATCCTTAAAAGCTTTGCTCAATTTTGCAATGCGTGCAGAGAGCAACCTTACTTTCTCAACCATGGTGGATCTTTAGTGGATTAAGAAGGGCCTTAAGGGAATGGAGGCTGTGTCTTCTATCCTGGAAGAAATAATTAAACTGGCCTGACTTGGCTGTCTATACTGACGTATTTATATTTGTTGACTTAAGAAAGGGACAGCACGCCGTACGTGCACGATCACTGCAACGGGTTTAGGCCCGCCCGCGGCCCGCCCGGCCGTGAGGGCGATGGATTCAGGGCGATGACCTGGATCCACTTCGCCTCGCACTTTTTAATACAGGGCGATGGGCGACGTTCAACAAAGGTCACACTTGGCAAAAGAACAAAAGCCTGCCGACAAGGAAAAGTCTAGTAATCCTTTAATAGATAAAAGGAATAGAATGCTGTGGCGATAAGCTAAAACAATCAGTGTTGGAAAATGTAGGTGGCACAGCAATGCTCACCCCCTTATGTTCATAAAGCCTTGAGTCAAGGTCAGATGATGTCTCATTAAAACCCTAAAACCCTAAGTACTCAGTCCGTTGTTGGCACAGCAAGCTGACGTATGGATACGCGGGAAGCCCATGGCATAACATCTTGTCGTTTCGGACATAGGGAACATATCAGCTTGAAACCAAGCTGGAACAAACCGCTGATTTTCTTGCTGTAATCGAGGGATGCGGCTTTACACAAAGGGGCGGTAATCGGAATGGAGTGGGGGTCATGCACGGGCACAGATGCTCGAAATGGAAGTTGATAGAAGCTACAGTGACGAGTCCGTTACGATTAACGAAATCGGATGATCGCAAGTGAAGTCGTCCAAAACAGAAGTTCTGCCGAAGGGTTTAGCTGAGGTTTTTTAGGGTTTTGGTTTCGTGGTTTAGCTGAGGCAAGCGCGGATGCGGGAAATATACCAAGCAAAGTGCTTATCAAATGTTTATGGTGCAATCCGTATGGAGCTTGTGGTGTTGTTTATAATTGTTAGCCTTATATGACCTTTGCACGCGCACAGACCGGCGGCAGCGATTCTCCTTACCTATCAAAACATCCTGCTGAACAATTATGTTTTACTTCAGGCAAACCTTCTGTGCTAGCGATTCTATAAGGCGCGAAAGCTTGTCGGCGGCTGCCATGACTGAACTGCGTGTGTGTTTCTTTGCCTGGTCGCAGCAAAATGGGCTCTCTCGTCCAGGGCGATGACTTCCCGCACAATCTGCGTCTGCTGAACACGAACGTGGATGGCAAGAACAAGATTATGTACGCTATGACGGCCATCAAGGGCATTGGCCGCCGTTTCCCTAAGCAGGTCTGCAAGAAGGCTGAGGTTGAAATCACGGTGATCGGCGACCCTGTACAAACGGAAACAGCCATCTGGAGCAGCCTGGCTGGTTCGGGTTTGAGGTTAACAAGTCTTTCTTAAACCTGGTAGTGTAAGCAGATGCGAGATAGCTAATGACCACAAAACGGTTGGGGAATTGTGGTGTATGTGGGCGATTTTGTGTGTGAGGATGTCTGGTGCGGTTTCACGTGGGCTAAGCAGCCGCCAGCCCGGCTGGCAGTCCATGCTTCCCAGCTCGCCAGTCGCTCATGTACAGGTGATCACTACACCGCTGTAAGTGGGACTGTTGCCGCCACTGCCGCCACTGCGTCTGATGCTGGTTCTCTTACCGTCACCCTGCCGTCTGTCTCGGCTGTGTGCCAGGTGCGATTCTACGTGGGGATAACGAGCAGCGCTGGTTCATGTGGTACAGCGGCCGCCGCTCTGATTCGCCAGCAGCCGCCAGGGTGGATGCGCTGGCGCCCTCATCCGGCAGCATCGGTGGGTGGGTGGCTGAGTACGGATTCGGGAGCAGAGTTGCCTTGGGGGAGGCCGGTCGGACATGGTGGAGGTGGTGGCAGTGAGTGGGAGCGGAAGATCGCCCTCAGGCAGGCGAGTCCGGGAGTGAGGGATGCTTGAGATTGTCAGCTCTGCAGCCGGCGCCGTACTGTCAACTGAAGGCGAGCTTATGGCTGAGGGAGCTGGCCTTGCACACCACCAATCCCCTCGCAGTCCTGGGCAACCCCAGCTCGCCTCCTACACTCCTAAGCAAGGTTGCGGTATGCAGGCTTGCCATCGCGCCTTGGACGACATCTGCTGCATCTCACACCTGTGGTTGCACACTGCAGGTGTAAACGTGTCGCGTAATGGAATTCGTTGGTTTCGGGGCTATGATGTAATCGAGGGTGCCCGAGGCGCCGACGCCGCGGGAGATGTGGGGCGCCATCATGGGTCCCAACAGGGACTGGTGGACCTTCCACACGTGCCACTTTGAGGATTGGCGGGAATGTAGAAACTGAACCCGGCGGGGGCAGCTGATGCCAGCGGCAGCGACGGCGTCGGCACTGCCGGGTGCCGTGGTGGTGATAACGGTGACCGTCAGCTGCCCCTGTCGCGCCCCGTGCCGCTGCGTGGCGCATTGCGGTACCGCCCCAGGTCGGTTCTAGGCATGCAGGCTAAGACGCGGTGCGACTGGCGGTGTGGCCGGTCAGGAATCCGAGAGTTGAAAAGAGTGGGGGCTATCACAGGAACGCGTGGAGACTACGAGTTATTATTTTTTTGAGAGATTGCGGTGCTCATGAGAGTGGATAGCTGAGGGCGCGTGTGGGATTCACGATGAACCGGCTTAGATCCGATCTGAACTCAAGCTGGGGGCACGTGCTTTACGGGTGCAGCTGCACAACATTTAACGGAAAGCTCGCTCCGCACTGCCCCGACATGGGTCTAGGCAAAGCAGTTGGGGCCCATGCTGTCCACTTTGAAGGATGGATGCATGCATGCATACATACATACTAGGCAGGCGGCTGGCAGAGGTTCGGGTTCGAATTCGCCAGCCGCCCTTTCTGGTGTGTGAGAGATGTTGAATTGGGAGGAGGCCTCCCGTCTAATGGACGTTGTAGGACGTGATGATGTCAACTTGCGAGCTGACCAGGATCTAAGTTGTGGCACCGTTGATCCGCTAGATTTGGTTGGATGCTGGTGGTGAGTTGCTGAACCCAATGAGCACATTCTGAAGTCGGATGGGGTGAACGGTTTAGGGTGCCCCTCTCGCAGGGAACTGCCTCGGGAAAGGGGGCTGCTGGTGAAGCTTAACCACCCTGTAACAACATACATACTACGGGTGGATCCCGCGGGATGTAGATCGGGGGTTTCATGGCCGTACATATGTGTGTCTGTATGTCTTTTAATCTTCAAGCTGATAAGGTGGACATATGTGCCCGAAGATCTGCGGTTGGGCATGTGCAAGACATGCCAGGACCCCCCATGCGAAGGCTTAGGGCCACCTAGGGCATCTTGAGCGCTTCTGACGGATTTCTTTCAATCCTCGCGGCACCCCTGAATTTCAATTCTTGCGAGGAATGTCCGCCATCGAATCTGAAATCCTGTTGCAGCATTGAGTCGCATGCAGGGCTTGGACCGCATTGGCCTCCCCTGCTCATGCATAGTTAAGGGCATTTTATTCGAGGATTAGCTACCCATGCCATGCAGAAGACAAAGGCACTGCAGCCTTTGTATTTGGCGGCGTCTTTGCTTCTGTTGTGCGGGCGTCGTTGCAATGGTCCCATGCCGGCGTGGCAAGGGGAGAGAGAGGGGCCGGCGGCTTCTGTTATGGCGCACGGCTAGGGGTTAAGAACCAGCAGGCCATGATAGCCTGCCTTGCCTAGGAATTAGGAGGGCTGTGTGAGAGGGGCTACGAGGTGGAGTGGAGAGGCAGATACAGCCTTGGGGCGGTTGCCACCTGCATGAATGCCGTATGTGCATCTTCAAGTGCTGCATGCATGTGCCCAGAGCTCAGAACCACAGCTCAAACTAGTTGCAAGGAGGTAACGTGGTTTGTTGCAGTGGAGAGGTTGTACTGCCCGCAATAGCAATAGCAGCAACGGCACAGGCAACATGCTAGAGAAATAGAGCTATAGCTGTAGGTCGTTGTTTTTATCTATGGTTGTGTGTCAACCTGCTGTGCATCCGCCGCAGCGGAAAAGCTCGCTCGGACAGAGTGTATGATCCGCTGCAAAGAAGCTGAAAAGTTGGTGACCCCCACGCAAGGATGCCATACTTGCAGGGAAAGTTGATAACAAGAAATTCGCCTCCATACTTACACCTGCGCATTAATCGGTCGCAGGAAAGGCTCAACCATGGTCTTAAGGCTAAAGTTGTTCACTCTTACAGGTGTACCCGCATGGATTGGCCCCACGGCTGGGAGCGGGTTAGGGGCAACGAGTGCAAGAAAAAAACGGTCCTCTTGTTCCTAACCCCTTTTTGGGTTTCCATGTACCTCCTCTATGCGTCAGACGCTAGTTGAGGACTATCAGCTTTAGCACACCTTAATTCTATACCATGAACAAAGTCCCATTCCGGAACTGCGCCATGCCTCTGGCAGGACATCTATATCTTCATGCGATAGACATCCAACTGAGCTACATCCTACCTGCTATACGCGTCCCAGAAGCTACTGCCTACCTTCCCTCCTTTACTGGTCCTCAAACAAAAGCAAACCTGCAAAAGTCGAACGCAGTGGAAGTACACTGGAACGCCAGAGCATCGCTCGCCATCGCTGCCTCTGCCACACATCATGTGCCATATCCTGCATGAACGTTAATCAACTCGTCGCTCACAGCCCGACCCTGCCACATAGCAATACAAGGCGCGCGATATCTAAAGAATACCTCTTGACAGCTTCTGCACTCCGTATCTCAACTCCACACATGGGGGCGCTGCCGTTGGACATATCCCACTGCATCTAAATATTTGGGCCGGCAACACTATGAAAGCCTCACCATGCCGAATGCAGCCACACCGTGCATAAACTTTGCTCAATATACAATCTACGTATGCTCAATTAAGATGTACAATACGCAAACTGCGGCCACAAAGAACATCTAAACCACCTCCAGCACACCCGTGCTCCCGGCTTGCTACTCCTGCTTCCAGTTGCTTCTCGGACGGCATTGGATAGGTCTTGCTGCCCATTGTAATATCTCAGTGCATGCTCCACCTACCGAATCCGTATGGGCATCTGAACTTCATGGTTGCATCTTCACGGAAGGGTAAAGCACCAACATTCGCCTTTATGCTCATCGGGCGGTTCAGTGATTTGTGGCAATACCCCGGCACTGCTATGGCGCCCTGTCAGATTGCCCGGATGACTGCAAGGGCCGATAACAACCCGCATGTCGGGGCACAGCAATGGCTTTCCTTCAATGCACATTCACCCAGCCTAGGTTGCCCGCCCTGTTGCCCGTCACCTGCCCCACGATGGCACTGTGAAGGCGAGGGCACTTGCACCGGGGTCTGCCTCGGAAACGGAGGTCATAGTCGTGGCACTCCGGGCAAGATAGAGAGTACAGGCAAGTGGCGGGGGCAGGAGCAGGCGCCTGAGGAAAGGGTGCTGCACCGGCTCCAGCGGGAGTTGCAGAGGTAGACGTGTTGGCCTGGGCGGCACGCGGGAACGATAGGGTTACTGTTTCGACACGGTAGACATGCTAAGCCACGGCACTGTGTCCCAGGAAGGTTTCAGGTTCAAGATCGCTTAACTGCGGGTTGAATTTCCCCGAACCCTATCACGCACAGTTAAGGGATATTGCACAAAACACAAGGGGCGTTAGGCTTCGCTAAAAGCAGTAAATGTCATGCAAAAACACCCCGTACATCAGCTTAGAGCGTTTCTAAAACGGGGCCCAGTGCGAGGATGTAGCAGCCGGCCTGCTTACCCCCATGTCGCCGCTTTTTGCGCTGAAGTCTGTTGCAGTGCCAGCGGCAGAGGCTGTAGTAGCTGGTACACAGTACGGCTCTACAAATACGCGCGAAGCGCGACCACCAGCATCTCGAGAGGCCTTTTCAGCGGCCAGCTACTACATTTGGTATCGAGACCTTGTGAACATTCACGATCCTGAAGTCGTCGGTTCAAACCCCAACCAATCACGCTTGGTGGAAAATCGGGTTAGATGACTCAGTGCGCGATTATCGCGAAAAACAAAATGTAGCTGAACCGACTGAACTGTCTCTGTGCCTGAAAAATCTGAAGACGGCTAGGCGCATGTGAATCCGGCACATGACGTGACGTGGACTGGTCACCCACTGCCCGAGGGTAGGCGAAGGTAGGCACAGGCTGGTGGTATACGTGGCTGTAAGGGCCCGAGACGGATCCCTTCAAAGGGGGGAGAATGTAGTAGCTGGTACACAGTACGGCTCTACAAATACGCGCGAAGCGCGACCACCAGCATCTCGAGAGGCCTTTTCAGTGGCCAGCTACTACAGAGGCAGCCGCAGCACCAGTCAGCAGCCGCTTGTGTGCAGTGCCGTCGGTATTTGTGCACTTCAAGTACGACAGCCTGCACGAGCAACAGGATACAATGCAGAGTAAGGTGGAAAAGTTAGGCCTGGGAGTGCTGTGACACATAAGGAATTCAGGTAAATTGGTATGCACGGGAAATCAATTCATTCACATCATGCTGACCTGGCTGACCATGCCGTGAATGAATTGATTCCCGTGCATACCAATTTACCTGAATTCCTTAAGTGTACAGCACTCCCAGGACTGACGTTTCCACCTTACTCTGCATTCTTGTTGCTCGTGCAGGCTGTCGTACTGGAAATGCACGAATACCGATGGCACCGCACGCAAGCGAGTGCTGACTGGCGCTGCAGCCGCACGGGCTGCCTCTGCCGCTGGCACTGCAACAGACTTTGGCGCAAAAAGCGGCGGCATTGGGGTAAGCAGGCCAGCTGTTACATCCTCGCACTGGGCCCCATTATAGAAACGCTCTAAGCTGATGTACAGGGTGTTTTTGCATGAGATTTACTGCTTTTAGCGAAGTCTGACGCCCCTTGGAGGAGGTGAGTGCAGAGGTCTTGGGCGGTTGGGCCCCACTGCCGGCATCGTTGCTGCCGTTCGCTGCACTCTTGGTAGCACCGGTTGCCTTTCCATCCTGCAAACCAGGCAGGCGGGGTGCACACAAGTCCCCAGACGGGTGTTGCCAGACAGGGTAGAAGTCTTGGTATGCTCATGTCGTCGTACCTGCAAACTAACCTTACTCTACCAGCTAATTGCTGTCACTGCTTCCATCACATCTGCAAACCCTAAACCCTAACGTCGTGCCTGCAAACTATCATCCCCTACGTTTCGTTTCCTATACAACATGTACGTTACAAAACAACAATGCAAACAACAGCTGGGAGAGCCAGGGGCTGGGAGAGCGTCCCGGTTGGCGTGAGTGAGGGAATGAGGCGCGCGCGGAGGAACAGACGGGCGTAAAGCCGCGCACCCATCCCTGCGCTGTGTTTCGGCCCGGTCAGGGCCCCCGGTACTCGTCCTTTATCGGGCGAGCCGCCCACAGTGTAACACCCCCCATCAACAGCTCCCATCATGCTGTTAAGCGTATCATCTGTAACCATTGGCACTTCAATACAAAATTGAGACAGAGGAGTCATGAGGCAGAAGCATGCAGACACACATCACAGTAACATGGCCGCGACAGGAACTCACCACCTGTGGGGCTGGCAGGTCGGTTGCCGCTGTGCTTCGTCGTCGTAACCTCACGTGTGCCGCTGCCGGAGTGTCGGCTTTTCGCCGCGGGTCTTCCACCTGGAGATTCCAATGCCGAGGCCAGTCATGGCGCGACAGGCTGCGGTCACCACCGTAGCCGTAGCCACAGTGATAGTCATCGCGGCCGCGATCCCGGAGGTCCCAATTATCGCCACGGCTGTAGTCCCAGGCTTGATCTCTGTCACGGTTGTCACGGCGATTGTGGTCGCGACCAGGGTAACGGTCTCGATAGTCGCGGTAGTAAGATCTGCGGTAACGGTCTCCATCGTCCCTGATGCGATCGCGGTCATTGCTGGTATATGCCGACTTGTACGGCTTGTGCTGCGAAGCAGCGTAATCCTATTGCGGTGGGGCGAGCATAATGAGGTAGTGTGTCTGCTTGGCAAGCCCCGCGCGCGCACTCTGTGGATGCTTTCTGGCCAGCATGGCATGCAGTTCTGTAGGGCGCTGGGATGGCGTGCTGTGACCGTTCATCAGACGGCAAGACGAAAGACTCACCTCATGCCGGAAAACTCACAAGGCTTAACAGATTGATAGCCCGCCGCAAGGACAGAACGCTAGACTGCCTACTATGTTTCAGGTGGTATGAGCTGTGTGACAGGAATTCTTCAATCGTGACGATCGACGCATCCACACAGTCTGTCGGTGGCACACGAATAGCTCCTCAATAAAGCACTATGCCCAAGGTAACAACAGCTAAGCTGGATGTGCTTTGATGCCTACATCGCAAGAAGCTACAAACTGGTATGTCGCCGAAATATTTCGGGCATAAGTCTTAATCTAGCTAGGATTATTTTTTTAGTCCAAATGTGTATTTGTTATTATTTTTACAGTTCTGCGAGGCACTCTGCGCCTTCAGGAGTTCTGCCCTAAAAGCAGGACGATTGGATCCTGAATCCATAAGTTCCGATGCCATTCGGGTGAAGATGAAACGAAATCCAAAGCCTGTATCGATTTTTTTAATGGCGATCTTGTTGTATGAGGCGCTAGTTCTGTTTTATCTTGGAGCTTGTTTTACGAGGCGCTGTTCATCGATGCCGGGGGCCCCTCCTGAGTTGTCAGGAGTATCGAAGCTGCTTAGGCTTACTGAACACGTGGATTCGGATGTCATTGGGAAGGCGCGACGCAGTGTCCCAGCGCTCCAGCCGATAGTGACCGTGGCAGAGCAGCATGACCTCCCACCGGCTCCACATCACGCTAAGCACGCGTCCTATCTCTCGGCCATCTAGTGGGCTCCACATCACGCTAAGCACGCGTCCTATCTCTCAGCCATCTAGTGCCGGGCGACTGCGAACAGGTGGAGGGGATTAACTGTGGATCAAAGGCATCGTGCCTTCTAAATCCGTGTGTATAACCCCGGATGTCACTTACGCAGAAGCCTCCTTCATGGCACGGCTTTTGCCAAATGCACGACAAGTCCCACGTCTTTTTGAGCGAGCGCAAGGGACGGTGGGTACCTACTAACCTTGCTGGTCGTGCCGTCTCCTCTGCCATCCGCTCGCATCTACTAGGCCCTGCACTTTCGGAAACTTATCCTACCAGCACGCCTATCACGAGACCACATGAGGTAAGCCGGAGTCTCACCCCCCCTCTCTTCTCTCCGATCCGCCGCTGCCGCCATTCCAGTCCGCCTGGTGCTGCAAACGAGGTAGGGATGAATTGAACCGGACCGAAGCGCTGCGCTGCGCTGCACAGAGCCGCCGCTACTGTCCTTAGCCTCTGCTATTGTGAAGTCAAGAGCACCGCATGGCATTATGACCTTTTGGCGATGAAGAGACAGACGCCATGTCCAGCCGTTTCATTCGATTGGCAAATGGCAAACAACCTGTGGCGGTGGTATGAGCGGGCCTCAGGCTGAGGGGGCCGTTTGGGCGGCCACCGGGAATGTGCCATGCTTTAAAAGCGCCGGGCATTAATCGGCGTCCGCATTAGAACCACTCGATTCGTCTGCATGACTGTCGATGTTTCCCCTATTGCTCTCCGTTGAGTGCTACAGGCGCTTGTGAAGCCCGGGAGTTGCGGCCGGCTGGTGCCGCGACTGGCAGTATCCCAAGAGGATGAGCGCATCAACGCGGTCGTAGGTTGCAGGTACGGGGCGCGTGGATCGGGTTAGGATATCCAGGGCCCTGGGTGCGGTGTCACACCGCAGGAACCCAATCTGGTTAGGTGAAGTCCGGGGGAGGAGCGCCGCCGCCGCCGCCGTTGCAGCTGCCGCAGCCGCCAGGGGGGTCTATATGTCTCGACGCTGCCTGCTCCGCCGCCGCCGCCGCCGCCGTCGAAACAGCAGCAGCAACAACAACAGCAGCAACAACAGCAACAGCAGCAGCAGCAGATGATGATGATGAGGGGTAATGATGATCACAAGGAGCGCGGAGATGGTGACAGTCGCGGTCGTAGCGGTGGTTGTGCCGCCGCCGCAGTTCCAGGTGATGGACCTCGCCCAGGCTGCAACTTCGCCGAAACGCCGCCGCCGCTGCCGCAACATATAGCGCCCCGGATTTCCCTTCCGGCGGCGCCGCCGTTGCTGCTACCCCCGCTGCTGTCACAGCTGTTGGTGTCTGCCGGGGGGTCTGTTGATCCCGCCGCGGCTGCCGGCGCTGGCACCGGCGGCACCAGCGCCGCCGCCGTGGTGCCTGGCCCGACGGCGTTGGCATTCGATCACATTCCTCAGTCAGCGGCTGCCGCCGCCCCCAGCAGCCCTTTCGGCGCCCTGGGTGTATTGCGGGCGAGGGCCTTACGGAGCGTGTTTCAGGGACGCCGGCAGACCGTACGGCCCGTAGGTTCATAGGAGGATAGAAGATCGACATGGCCACTCGATCCAAACGGTCTTTTCTCCAACCCTGCCTAATCCTGGAGTATCCGTCTATCCTCGGTATCTGCTTCAATTGTCAGTGGGTCATCTTACCCTACGGTTCTGTTGATACTTGGGAGGCTTCCCCGGGTTGCGATATGTGCGTTGCTGGGAGAGGGACAACGTAAAATTGCGATGATCTGACCCAGGGGCAGGAAGTGGCGAGGAGGAGGAGGAGGAGGGTGCATGAGTGAGAGCAGTGGATGGGCACATGCCGCGTTCCTCACCCGCCTGTGCGCCTCCTCATTCAAACCCTTGGCGGTGGTGGCCGTGGTGACGGTGGTGGTGATGGTCGATAGGAGATGCGTCGCACAGTGCGCCCGCGGATTCACGGTCAGCAGCCATCGCAGTCGCAATCGCCGCAGCACCATTCTTTTCCAAGGATTGGCGGGAATGTAGAGACTGAACCCGGCGGGGGCAGCTGATGCCAGCGGCAGCGACGGCGTCGGCACTGCCGGGTGCCGTGGTGGTGATAACGGTGACCGTCAGCTGCCCATGTCGCGCCCCGTGCCGCTGCGTGGCGCATTGCGGTACCGCCCCAGGCCGGTTCTAGGCATGCAGGCTAAGACGCGGTGCGGCTGGCGGTGTGGCCGGTCAGGAATCTGAGAGTTGAAAAGAGTGGGGGCTATCACAGGAACGCGTGGAGACTACGAGTTTTTATTTTTTTGAGAGATTGCGGTGCTCATGAGAGTGGATAGCTGAGGGCGCGTGTGGGATTCACGATGAACCGGCTTAGATCCGATCTGAACTCAAGCTGGGGGCATGTACCGTGGTGACAGGAAATGTTCGTCTTTTTATTGTTCGAGACACCCTCAAAATTACACCCGAAAATATTGAAACTTTATAATTCGTAAGAAGCCAACGCAACCGAAGCAACGGTGCCTGCAATGTTCGTAAATGGGTCCGACTCAGAACGCCGATTGACGCAAAAGCTGGCCAATGCATGCACGGTTATTCTGCTCACCAGCAAACACCAGATTCCAGTGACATGGCACGCGAACCACGTGAAAAGCAGGCAGGTATTGTCTCTTCGATGAATAACATACTGTGTTGAAGGCATTGCACGATTTGGCTTCGGAGCACACATATACTCGTAACGACCATCGCCTGGAACAGCTTGTAATTTATATGTGACATAATTTCGTAATGCCGTTACGAAATTAAAAAGACGAACATTTCCTGTCACTACGGTACCTACCTAGCTAACGACCTCAGGCAGCGAGCCCAGTCCCAACGCTCAACTTGGGAGTTTTGGTCACATGTAAAAACGGCCGCATTTGCGGCGGAGGGAGAGGGGCAATACCTGACGACGGCGGCACTAATTAGCAGTTGTCCAGGGAGGGTTTGGGAGGAGGGGATTACTTGGCGGCGTCGAAGATACAACAGCCTGCGTGTGAAGGACCCCCGACTACCGGCGCCCAAAACAATGATGCGGTACTGCCCGTCGTCAATCCAGAGTGATGGGATACAAGGGGGGTCTGTGTTTAATACCAGCATATGTTACCACGCTAGCAAAGCCGTTAGGCTGCCATGCTGTTGCAGGTCTGACGGTGTGGCACACCTTTCCATGAGCGCGGCTTGGAGCCTTCTGTGTCACAGTGCCTATGCTATAGTCCTGTTGTGTCTGTGACTGACTGGATTGAGATGCGCATCCAAACAACCATGGTCATTTTGCCCTCTAGGTTGGGGAAGTTCGTACGCGTTCGTTCGACGTCGCAGCAGTCACGTCTCGTTACCGTTTCCTCCAGATATCGCGTAACACGGAAAGAATAGAGAGGATCAAGCTTGATTACCTCGCAACGTGCGGGCCGAGACGTGGAACACACACACACACACACACACACACACACACACACACACACATACAGAAGCACACACACAGTACACCGGGCATGTCGGGCTTTGTACAGTGTATAGGCAACCTGCCATGTCCTGTAAACGACTTATTGTTTAAAGCGGCAAAATTATCAGTGCTGTGGTGATGTGGTTTCCGGTCCAATGCTTCTGCCACCGCACGCTTCTACAAACACTCTGTCACAGATGTATGTAAATGAATGCACAAGCATATGTTTCTAAATGCACGGAAATTCATAAATACATAAGACCTAGTTTATAATATAAGGGGCGTGGTCATTAAGTAGTGAAAATTGACCGTTGATGTACGGTCCCGGAGCTGCACAGTCCACCACACAAACGAACATTTGCCTATATCTGCTTGTTATTGCTTGCGCTCATTTTATCACAGATATTTAGATACCTGCGCAATACAGCTTAGCCGTGCGTTTGGTAGACCGTGTGCCAACATTTTTTATTTGGCCAGCCCTTTCCAAAGGTTGCAATGAGCGCAGTAATTTTACAGAGGACACCGTTGTGTAAATCCCCAAGCGGCTTTCACTGTCAGCAGCGGCGGGTGGCTCCCGCTAGAGTCCTGGTTCCTCGAGCCATCCGCAAGGAGGCTAGCTATGAAAAAAATAATGAAAGCCAAGTGTCGGGTAAGCTTTGTTCCATTTTGTTGTGCTGGCTGCGCTTTGTGGCAGAGTAGTCGACACGTGTGGTTGTCGACCCGCGACCGCCCAGGTCTCAAGGAAATTGCTAAGCGCATTGCGGCTGCGGCGTTGGGCACAACCACAGCTCTTTCTTTAATTTTGAGTCCTGCATTTGCCGCATCGGAGCTAGTCCGGTAGGGCCTGTTATGAACCGACAGTCGTTGGCTGGGGTTTCTCCACAGCTGCCAAAAAGGGACCTCATGTATGGAATTATGCCAGTTTTTTCATTAGCAATTGCCCATACAAATTCATTTACGTGGGGAACAAGGAAGTGGCTCCCTTCCCGCCAAACCCTTGTTGATGGCGTCAAAGTTCACGGCCAAACGTTCATTCTCCACGAACCTAGACGCTGTCTTTCGTATGTGCGTTGTAATCCTACCCTACTCTCTTCTTACGTTCCTTTGCAATTTTCCGAAGTCATCTGATGAGGTTAAGTGCGTCAGTATTGGTCATCGCCCTGGAAAGCCCCCGGAAAGCGAAAGAACCATGTCGTAAAAACAGAGGCTGAATAATACAATAATAGATTTATCATTATGCTCTTGAAGGGGCAGTAACGGGGCAATTGAAGTTTTATTTTTGTCCGGGAGTTTCTGGTCAACGCAGTGTTGAAGCTACTGCGCGCATTCTTTGTACCCTATCTTTTTCGTTCTTTCTCCTCTACATGTACTCGTACTAGATTCCGTCTGACCCGGTTGGGACGTCCCACGCCGTGCTCCCGTGGGCGAGTTCTTGTAGACGCGTCCTGCGCGACAGTCCGTCTTCCGACGTATCCACAGCAAACGTATCCACAGCGAAGCAACAACAAGGTCTTGTGGCCTTGTGTTGTTCACTCTCCTCCTTCTCTCCCCCTCCCCCACCCCACTCCCTGCCCTGATTCGCCCTCCTCCGCCCTCCTTTGCCCCACCAACTCTCCCACTTTACCCCTCCTCCTCTCCTTCCCCCGCCCCTTCCCCCTTCCCCTGGAAACTTCCCCCACCTCCTCCAGCCTCCCTGCATCCACCGACCCGGTCATCTTCGCCGCCCAGCGCACGCTTGTGGAGGCCTGGACCATTGTGGGTCAGGCCTTCGTGGATCCGCGGTTCAACGGCCACGACTGGGAGGGCGAGCTGCGGGAGCACATGATGGCGGCGTTCAACGCGGAGGAGCCCGAGGCGGCGTTCGGGGAGATCGGGCGCATGCTGGGGGAGCTGGGGGATCCGTACACACGTCGAGTGCCGCCTGAGTGAGTCCCCGGGGAAGGATTGTATGGGGGGGGGGGGAAAGGAGAGGGCTGGCCAACGTGTGTGTGTATGTGTTTGTGAAGGGGGAAAAGAGGAGGGCCGGGGAGGCCGTGTGGGTATGGGAATGTCGGCGACCAACGAGGCCGGTCCACAATTGCAAGGGCATCTCCTTCCTGGTCTTTACAACCTGGATTACAACTGCGCTACATATCGCGCAACGCTGCGCTACCGTACCGTACCATACCGTACCGTGCAGCAGTTGATTCACTTTGCCGCATTACCATTGTCGGCCTCTTTCCCGAGTTCCCCCCCTCCCCCTTGGTGCAACAATCCCCCCCATAACGCATCTTCCCAACTTCCCCCCAATTCCCTCCTCCCTGCCCTGTATCCCCCGTCAGGGAGTACGCCGCCTTCCGGGTGTCCAGTGAGGGGGAGCTCCAGGGCGTGGGTATGCTGATCGCCAACGAACCCATCAACGGTCATCTGCTCGTACTGGCGCCCATCAAAGGGGGCCCGGCGGACAGGGCGGGTATTCTGCCGGGGGACGAGCTCACCTCCATTAACGGAATGTCGATGGAGGTGCGGGTCGGCGGTCGAGGGCAGAAGGGGATCGGGGGGGGGGGAAGAGCAAAGGGGGCGGGCAGAGTTCCTTATTTCATCGACGACGTATCCACCACCACCGGGTGTTCAGGTGCTCAAACGACATCAGCAACATTCAGCACGGTTTTGGCACGTAAAGCTCCCAATCCTCCGTTGTCAGTACCGCCGTCCTTTGCTCGTACACATGATATGCACAGGGCTGGAACGGCGAGAAGGCCGCTCGGCTGCTTCGCGGCAAGGGTGGTACGGAGGTGCATGTCCGCCTGGCTCGCCGTACAGGCGGCATACCCGGCGTGCCCGCACGACCCGACCCCCCGACCCCCGCCGTGGAGTACCGGGAGGTGTCCCTGCGCCGGGAGCGGGTGCAGCTGAGCCCGCTGTTCTCTGCGGCGCTACCGGCGGCAAATCTGCCCCCCGGTACGGGCGGGGTGATGCCCGTGGGTACGGACGGTCGCGTACGACAGCCGGATGGGCCTGTGGGGTACCTGCGGCTGACGTCATTCTCGTCCAATGCGGCTTCGGAGATGCGGGACGCCATTCAGGAGCTCGAGGTGGGGCGGGGGGGTTTGGGCTGGGGCTTGGGCTGGCCGGCACGGTGGGCATGTACGGGTGTACGTTGTGGTACGGCGGTGTGGGGCCTGGTAAGCTTAGGATTGGTGGCGTGATGGGATAGCCGGCTCGCCTGCGTGCCGTACATTGGGATCCGTTCTCAGTGATAGCCTCTACATTGAGTTGTCCTCTTCCCCCTCTCTTCCCCCCCTAACCCTCTCTCATCGGCCACGTCGTTTCTCGTACATTCCGGCATACACACACACGCCCAGGCTGCCGGTGCGTCCTCGTACATTCTGGACTTGCGCAACAACCCGGGGGGTTTGGTCCGCTCCTCCATTGACATCGCCCGGCTGTGGCTGGACGGCAGCCCCGTGGTGTTTAACATCTCCAGTCGTGAGGTGGGGGGTGGGGGTGGGGGGGCGGGAAGAGGAGAAGGGGGGGGGGGGCCGAGGGGGCCTGAGGAGTGGGTGTGTGGGCGAGGGTGTGGGTGTGTTTTCCTGCTCTAAAAGCTCCCCGCGCTGTTCTGGTTGACTGTCCTGGACTCTGCTGCTGCTGGTAATGGGGCAACCATAAGCAGCAGCAGCAGCAGCAGCGGCGTGTGCAAGCTCGTGATCGTAAAAAAATTTGATGATGATGATGATGATGATGCGCTTTTTTGGCTTTCCTGTCAACTTCGAACGTCGTCGATATGAGCCTACTAACCGAAATGACACTCTGAACGACCGCTTTGTGATTAGGATGACAAGAATCTTATAATTTGTTTGTTTGTTGCTTTTATTGTTTTTTTTTCTGAACAAATTGCTGTTGTTGTTTATTGCTGTTGTTACTTGTTTCCCTTGCCATTTCTCCCTCCCCCCCCCACGCCACACACACACACACATACATACACACGCACACCCTTTCCCGGTGAGGTGCAGCCCGATGAGGTTCAGTCCCAGCGGGTCGACCTCCCTGGAGCGGCCCTCACACACCGGCCCCTGGTGGTGCTGGTCAACGCGGCCTCAGCCTCCGCGTCCGAGATCCTTACGGGGGCGCTGCACGACAACCACCGGGCACTGGTGGTCGGGGACAGCCACACGTACGGCAAGGGCAAGATCCAATCCGTGTTTGAATTGCAGGTGTGTCGCGGATCCCATAAACCGAACCAGGTCGTTGAGGCGCTCGACGCGTATGTGTGTATGTGTGTGTGGGGGGGAGAGGGGGGAGTGCGTGTTTGTCTTTTTGGGGGGGGGGGGAAAGAGAGAGATGTAAGAGTAAAACATCTCTCTGTCCATGTACCGTACATACATTAATACATATTCACGCACGTCAACAACCCTTTATACACACACACACACACACACCCATTCTGCATATCTCTCCCCCCGCCGCCACTACCACCACCACAACCTCTCTCCTCTTACAACCATCCCCACCCCACCAACCCCCCGCGCGCTGCAGGACGGCAGCGCGCTCTTCGTCACAGTCGCCCGCTATCAGACCCCCAACGGCACCGAAATCGACAGAGTGGGCCTCGCACCCGACCGCTCCTGCGCCCTGCCTGCCCTGCCCACCGACGGCGCCGACGGCGGCTTCCGGAGCGGCCTCCCCATGGTCCCTGGCAGTGAGGAGGCGCTGTTGGAGAGCCTGGCAGACGACCAGTGCGTGGTCGCCGCCCGGGAGGTGCTGCGAGAGGAGGTGGCGATGGTGGCGAACGCGGCACGTGTGGCGGCGGATATTGTACGGCCGGTGGGGACCGCTGGCGGCGGCGGGGGCGGTGCGGTGGCGACGACGGCGACGGCGTCGTCGTCGGGGACCCTGCCGGGCTCCTTGCCGTCGCCGGTGTAAGGGTGGACGGGTGATGACAACGCACGGGGGAAGCAGCAGCGGAGGCGAGTCTCTCTGGCGGTTTGCGCGCTATCGTGGTACCCAGGGCTCGCACCTCCTCTTTCCGTCTTGGAACGAGACATGCAGTGCAGTACAGTGCAGTACAGTCAGCAGCACACGGTCTTGCTTGTGTGTCTGGATGGTGTGGGGGGTAGCCCAGTGGGAGGTGCGTGCCGCCCGGACAAAAGTAGATATCGTTCGTCACGATCACTATCTTCGTATCAGCATCAGTAGCAGCGGCGGCAGCTTACGGCCGTCCTCTGCTCGTGTGTATTGTAGTGCCCGGTGTGGAAGGGAAAGGTTGGATGTGGGGGAGGTGTAGCGAGCGAAGGTGAGAGGTTGGAGAGTGGGACGTGTTTTGGCCCCGGGTGGTTGTGTATGTGTATGTATGTGTATGTGTATGTGTAGAGAGAGGGGTGGTGTGCGTGGAGGGTGAGGGGAGGGGGGATCGCGGCCCGAGCAACAGCAGCAGCGGCAGCGTTGTCGTTTGAAGTCGTGGTTTTGGCTGTGGCTGCGGTGGTCTTTGCATTCGGCCCGTCTGTATGTAGTCGAGTTGTGAGAGTGGAGAGGAGGGGGAGTGAAAATGTTGACGTCGCGTGTTGCTGTTGTTGTTGTTCTTGTTGTTGGTGGCGATGTGTTGGTGGTTCTGGTTCCTGGTCTCCTCACGTTTTTGGGAGACCTTGTGTACAATAGTTTGTTGGTCTAATTTGGCTGACTGCCGTTATTTGATGCCATTGCCGTTGTTGAGATTTGTTGTTAGTTGTTGTTAATGTAATTTGCAGTTGGTGATGTCGGCGATGACGATGGTTTATGTTGCACTCCTGATATTCTTGTTGGGATGTAGATGGCAACACCAGACTTACGAATTCAGAGCTGCGGAAGAGAGCGGTGTGCCGTACTGTACGGCATACGGCAGTATTGTGTTGCGCGCACACAGGAATTATGCGCTCGTGTTTTTTCCTGTTGCCGCTTTCGCCATGCCAACAACATTTCACAGCTCCTGTATGACTCACATTCTATGGCCTTGTTGATGTGGCCTGTGTTTTATGTTGCTGCTTGGTGTTGGTGTGCCTTTGTACTTTGCACAACATGTTGTGCCGTCCGTGAATTCCGCCCCGTCAACGCGCGGCCCCGTTCAGGGACGCCGTACAACTGTACATCATGCATGCGAGAGACATGCTAACGGCTTGCGGAAATATGGTGACGCGACGCCGATGAAACGGGTTCCCCTGCCCCTCCGTGCTTATGAGCCCCATCGCGTGTCTGAATGCGCGCCTGAATGTATGTATGTAGGATGAGCTACTCGCCGATGTATATTTGCGGGGTGCAACGGGCGGGGGAGTGGAATATTTGAATGGACCGGTGGTCCTCAAACGGTTCGTGCGCACGTAGTTATCTCGACCGCCATGTCGTAATCTTGGAGATGGCTATTTGCCTGAAGCGCGCCAGGAGAGAGGGGATGAAGTAATAGGTTTGGTCGGATGTGATGTGAGGGAGCGGTGGCTGCTGCTCCGGGGTTGTGTTTAGCGCAGGCGGCCTTTGCTGAGGCCGCGATCGGACGGAGAATGCGGAGAGCTGCAAAGCTGGGTCGCCGTGGTATCCCGGAAGCGTTGGGTGCGTACGGCTTTCACTGCCGTACGCTGCTGCACTGAGCAAGCTGCTGCTATCGCGCCATGTGCAGCTGTGTACTCTTGTTCGCTTGTTTGCGGTCCTCGGGTGCAGGTGTCGTCGTACAATGCGATCTGTGTTTGGTGGTTCGACATTCGGTGCGTCTGAACGACACAGGAATGGGCCCCGTGCCGCAACATGCATCTTGCACACATGCTCGAGAAGAGAGAAAGACGAAACGGATGTATGTACGGACTATGAATGGTTAGATGTTTGGATGATGATGAGAGATAGTTGGTGTTTAGGAAGGTGATAGAGAAAGAGAGAGAAGAAAACAATCACATTATCACATTACATGTATCTTGCGAGCGGCAACATACATGCTCGTTGTTGGAGGGTTGGTTGATTTGGTTGATTACTTGATATTGGCGTTGCATTCAAGTTCGGTTTCGGCTTTAGTGCAGGTGCTGGGGACCGTGTCCTAATCAAGCCATGGCGCAGCAGGCCGTCCTGTATATCTTCATCAGCTGCCGTGCATACGTATTGGTTGGCGGATCGAGGTGATGTTCAGAATCCAACCCTAAATTGTTTGACAATCATCAAATTTCTGCGGTTTCTCCTACGTAGAAATTTTCTGCACTACGACAAATTCCTTTTCGTTTTTCCCATGAATGTGTTGTTCTGTCTGGCTAATGCGGTGTTGAAGCGATACTTTGACCTGAAGTAATCCAGAGCGCTGGACCGCTGATTGCGACCAAGTAAAGTCGACAGCGACCGCGCGATACAACAACGAGCATGATGATGCTCTGATGTAAGTTGTAGACATGCCATGCGTGCGCCTGTATGCATGTACGTGTATCTGTACACCTCCTACGTGTAATTGCACCTCGAGGCGCTTCGAGTGTGTATATCACTGAGAGTTGTGGGCTCTTGATAGAAAAAGTACTTGTAGATGTTGAATCTCGAATTTATTGCTATTGCCTAGTAGGACACGGATTTTATCGTGTACGATGCAGTTGTTACAACTGGATGTCTCCGCACATACAGGGAGGGATTGGAGTCCGAAATTGCGGTGCGATGAGATGAAATTGCGGTCGCCTGGCTGACCGGGGTAAAAGTAGAGGAATGATTGGAATTTACAGCATCATCTGAACGTTGTATCTGTAAGTGTCCTAATGCGTTTATTGAATATTTGAATTCAGGGAGGGAATTTCAGGTAGCCATATGTGCCACACATAACACTCGCACTGAACATATAAGTGATCAGCGAGTGACGTTGCTACCCATACTACCCGTGCCCAGAGCCCAGAGCGACGCACATACTGCTCATTCGTTGGTAAACAATTACAGGCACATGGCGACTAATTACGAGGTTAACTGAACTCACCAACACCACTTTCCCCTTCACGCACAGATGCAACACTACAACCGCTCGCAATAACACAGAAGCCAAGGTGGCTAACCAGCAGATTAGCATTGTAGACCTCAGGACAACGGGCAGCTATAAGGATGCTGTTTTATTGATGCTGTGTGCTGACGCTGTCTCCATGGATTCTGGATCCAAGGGGCAGAGGCCCTCGTCACCATCGTGACCCCCTCCACAGCGCGTGCAACTAAATGAGAGCTGTGCTCCAGAACATCAGGTTTTAACGAAGAAGACCGTAGCGGCGGGGGAAATGTAGGACGTCGGCATGCAGCCCTCATTCCCTCCGCTGCAGCTGTGCATCATCACCAGCTGCCGCCACGGCCACCACCACCACGGCTGGAGCCGCCACCGAAACGGACACCGGTTCCGGAGCTCCCGCTGGACGCCATCTCACGGCGCATGGCGGGGTCGTTGAGCTGGAATTGCCGCAGCTGCTGGGAGCTGAACTCGCGACCTGAAGATTGTCGCAGAACGCAAAGCGAAAAGTGTAGAAAATGTAATTTTCTAAGCTAAAATCATGATTAACTTTTCTTCCATTTTAATATGGACAGCCTCTTCAATAAAAGGTAATGGGGAAGAGCATAATTTCATGCTCTCTTTCATAAAATATACAGAAATATGTGCAGCTGGAACAGCAAGGATGCGCATTTAGGTTTAAAAGCGCCTACGCATAAAGGCCAGGACAGCAATTTAACGCCTGAGCATGAGTTGATAACGTGCGGAGAAGCGGCGGCTCGGCTGTGAACACAGTTGCTTTCCGGTCCCACGACCTAGATTTCGATGTCAAGCTATGCATGCTACCCCTTTCCGCCCGTCCCCGCCGCTGCAACCCACATCATCTCCTCACCATCCCGTCCTTAAAACCCAACACAGACGTCTGCTCCAGCAACGTTTCGCGTCCCTCCGGAACGCCCCTCGTCCGCCACCACTGGCCCCACCCACCGTTCTGCAAGTCTTGTTCCCAGCTGTGCAGCATACCCGTGCTGATGTAATCTGGATGCTGCCGCTGCAGCTGCCTTAGCCGGAACAGCATCTCCGCCAGCAGCAGGTCCTCGTGCATCCGCACCGGCTGGCGACGGGAGCCCCACCGCAGCCGCAGCCGCGGCACCGTGCCCATGCCGCTGCTGTACGACGGACTGACGTATGAGTACGGCTCATCGTCAGCGCTGCATGGGGGCCACGGTGGCCCGAAGTAGGAGCTAGAAGAGGGGCCAGCACCGCTGCCGGAGTTGGGAGTAGTCCGGTTGGCGGGATCGGCGCGCACGGGTAAAGGTGGCCGCGGGAGAGGGGTGTCCCGTGCGTCATTGGGCGCCGGGGAAGAGTCGTCCTCGTCGAAGGGTTTGCGGCAGATCGGGCACGTGACCTTCTTCTGCTCAAGCCACCTGCAGGTCCAGGGTAACAGTTCAGTTCCGGAGGCCTAAGTCAGGTCGGTAGAGTTGCCGGAAGAGAAAGGCGCAGCAGCAAAGGGAACTGATGTGAACCCGGGTTCCATGACCAGTTAACTTCAATGGGGAGCGGGGACATTGAAGAAGAAGTCCCTCAATAACTGACATTCTTCTAAGAATAATGGGGCTGCAAAGCTACTTTCCTGCTTTCCCTTCTATCCCTGGTCGTCTCTCTCCCCGCCGCTCCCCCCCCCCACCAAAGCATTCCTATCACTATCACTACCACTATAACGCTAGTACCATGATTACCCCACCACCACCACCACCACACACACAGGACTTACTGGGTGATACACAGCTCGCAAAAGGCATGACCGCATGGCAGGACCAGTGGACGGCGTTGTTGTTGTTGTTGTTGCTGTTGCTGTTGCGCTTCTGCGCTTGGCTGCTCCGGTAGTGGCGGCGCCGACGGTGGCTGCCCTCCCGGGTACGACCCCGCGCTCGCGCCGGCTGTCCCACCTTCAATGCCCTGACTCAGTAGCGGCTTCCGGACCTCATCACCAACATCATCATCCTGTTGTTGTTGCTGCTGCTGTTGCTGCGTCCCGGCCTTGCCGCTGTGATTATCGCACGAGGGGCAGACGCCACCACTGCCACCGCCACCACCACCGCCGTTATCGCTGGCGCCCATCTGCACCTCACTATCGCCACCACCACCACCACCACCACCTGCAGCACCACCACTGCCGTTGTCGGTGAAGTCCTCCAGGCACACTGGACATGATGTGGGATTGTAGGTGCTGCTCCGAACCGCAGCTTGGTCCCGTTTCAACTTCTCCAGCTTCGCTTTACAATCCTGTGCGCGGAGGTAAAATACATCAGTAGGTATGTCGGCGCGTCTTTTTGAGATGTGGAGGCCCAGCTGGGAAAGACAGTCCGGTTAAAGCCCGACAACATAAACACAGCGATAAATGCCAAAAGCACGTCCACACTTTAAACCATGTTTTTAACGGGAAAACAAGTCCCGCACGCCGGTACACGTATTGTGCCAACAGACTCGACAGCTGCGTCCCGGGTGGGGCTCGCGAGCACCGCAGGAAAGCAAACACTACACCGCAGTGCAACAATTTCTCACCACAGCTGGCTGTATTGCCGCACTAGTCACCCCCATCACCCTCACCACCACCCCCTACCACACCCATCACCCCACGGAGTCTGGTCACCTGGTACCGTTTGCGCTTCCGAGATTCCGTGCGAGCTGCCACGAAAATGAAGCCGCCTACTATGCTGGCAAAGATGCCCAGACCGAGTAGTTCATCCCACCAGCGGCCCTCGCTGCCCTCGGGCTCCACGGGTCGACCCGCGAGCGCCAGACCAATATCCACAACGGCCCGCTCTACGGCCTCGCCGTACCTGGGTACGGAATATGGGGCACGTATGGGGCGGGTGCTGGGTACCGAAACATGATCCAATGCAGACTAAACGGGCAGGGAGAGCATTCATTGGCACAAGAATCAGTGGGATGCAAAGCGCTGTTTGGAAAGGGAAGCAGAGCTGGGGATGGAAGGGACACCGCAAGCCGGGGAGGAGGGAAAAAAAGGGACACCGCAGGCTGGGGAAGAGGAACTGTAGGGGGCCGCACCTTCGGTCTTTCAGCGACGGACGGACGTCGCTAATGATGTCGCCCAGACCGTCATATGTAAGGCGGCTTGTGGCACCTGAGCCCACAGATATGAAAATCTGCCTGTCATCGGTGCTAATGAGCAGTAAGACGCCGTTGTTGCATCTTGCATCCCCGACGCCCCAGCGGTCGTGCAGGCTCCGTGCAAAGTTCTCTGCCGCTTCTGCAGCATCTCCCTTGTATCGCATGCTGCGCATTAAAGCTACTGCAACCTGTTCCAGAGAAATCCGAAAGTGCAAGACAAAGGCACACGGAGCACGTCATCACAGGAATTCCAAAACCAGGAAATTTTATTTAACGCCAGGATACAAAGATTACCTGATATCCTTGAAGTCCGTAGCTTCCACATTGCCCCAACGCGTATGGGGCTTCTCCGGAGTAAATCTTCTTTATGATGCCCTCGACAACGTTGGCTGATTCATAAGTTATGACTCCATCTGGATCGCATATCCAACTGCTGACTCCCCTCCGCCCACAGCTTGTAACGTCCTTTAAAGGGTTAGGGTAGGTGTCGGGTGACCACCCCGACGCGGCACTTGCCATGTAGGGCAAAAGAAGCAATCTTAACAGTTGATAGAGCTTCATAATTAACACTGGGAAGGGGATGGCGTGAAAGAACAGAAGCAGTGCGTCCTCGTCCTCCGTGCTCGGAAGCTTAAATGGTCATAACTTGTAAAAATTTTTACCAAGGAGCTACAAATTCCCGCATCTTCGCATGCTGCTTGACAATATCTAATGGGCAGCTCTTTTCTCCTCCCATCGGCTTCCCTGCGGCCGTACACGATACCGCACAATGCATACTTGGCCCGCCAATGAAATCCCCCTGAGTATCGGTATGTATTTTTACAGGGATTTAAATGAGTAAAACTTAATGGATTTGACATGTTCTGATAGCGTTAAACGAGCCATCAGCAGACTTATCAACCTGCCAACCGTTTCCGTTAGGTTGGCAAAGACGGCATGCACAACCCAACCAGAGCATCCATAGCAAAGGTATCTTCGCGAAAGCCGTACTGAATATCCAACCATGCATGCTCAATCCCGCTCAATCACATTGCGTGTCCCGACACGCAGGCAACAAACCTAGTCCGACCACTTCAGCAAAGGATGTGCTCAATTATCCTTTGCAACAGAAAAACCTGATAACAAAAATGAAGCCCTGCACCAACAGAGGCGAGACCTACCAAGGACATGAATAAGGTACGAGGGAGGCATCGCGGACAAACAGACGCTCATCCTGTGTTACTATACCCCGAGACCTGCCTAGAGCCTACCAAAACGATAACCAGCTGGCGAGAGACAGTCCTATCCAATACGCTACAGCGATGTAAAAAATAAAGTTAAAGTGCTAGCCAGCAGTTGAGCCACTGCCCGAATGCAGCTCTACTGCGTGAAGCGGCGTGCCAGGTGGCGCTCCAGGACGACGCTTCCACTCAAACATCCCTGGCCAATTATTACACCAGCCATAACCGAACGCACGCAATAGGAACATGCACAATGCACACAGACATGTAAGAACGCATGCCACAAAACCTTCTAAACCAGGAGCAATCGAAAGCCTGCTTAAATAACGTCGCAGTATACGTGACATAACAATAATGTTAATTTTTTAGTTGTTGGAAAGTGACCGACACTCATATACCAGAGAATGGTGACAGCAGCAATAGGACCCGGGGGGGTCCGTGGCGCTTTGTGCTGGTCTTAACAGGAGTTGCATGCATGCCACTGCTAGTTCCCTTGCGGCCGCACGCATGTCCCCTGAGCTAGATGGGACGTTTAAAAAGCGCTGTAACTGTGGTTTTATTCCTCTCCCGCACTCAATTCCATTCCATTCACCTCCTCTTTCTCCCCTTTCTCCGCGTCATCTTGCTACCTTCCTTGCCATTATCTCGCTGACAGCGAAGATGTTTGTATTGGCGAGCGGTGGAGGCGGTGGAGGCAGTGGAGGGGGTGGAGGCGGTGGAGGGGGTGGAGGCGGTGGAGGCACCACCAGGAAACCACCAGTGGCCCCGTCCGGTGCAGCCCGGAACAGCTCAGGAGGTGACGGCACGCGACCGCAAGACTCCGCTGCCGCCGAAGCCCGTCCCAGGCTTGCAAAGGTGGGTCCGTGCGTCAGCAAAGACGGGTGATGCGGCGACCGCGGCGGCTGTCTGCCCTACAGCTCTGTACCACTGGTTAAAAAACAACTCCTATTCCAGTTGCACTTGATCCTCCTGCCGTTGATCCCCTGCTGTGGCTGCCCCTGCGGTTGCGGTTGGCACACTGTTGATGTTCTTACAGGGTGGTACAGCTTCACCAGTGGCCTCCTTCCCGAGGCAATTCCCTGCTCTCCCCTGCTAGAAGGGCACCCTAGTCCGTTCACCCCATCCGACTTCAGAATGTACTCTTTGGGTTCGGCAACTCACCACCAGCATCCAACCAAATCTAGCGGATCAACGGCGTCACAACTTAGTTCCTGGTCAGCTCGCAAGCTGCTATTATCACGTCCTACACCGTCCATTACATGGGGGTCCTCCTCCCATTTCAACACCCCTCAAACACCCGAGGGGTCGGCAGGTGGATTTGAACCCGGGACCTCAGGGAGCAGAAGTCAGGCCTTAACCTCTGCCAGCCACCTGTTGTTGCCGTGAGGACGAGCTCTCAGCCGTGTTGGCACACTCTCTGGTGTGGGCAGTAACGGGCACAGGGCAGCACCCAGGTTGGGTCTGTTTTTGAGGCTGTCTGACACCCCCCGGTGAACGTCCTGCGGTGGCGGAATGCAGGCCGTCCCTGTCGACGGTGCCAAGGCCGTCCGCACACCGCCGCTGTCATCGTCACTGGCTGGCGGCAGCGGCCCCGCGGCACAATTGCCTCGACGATGCCGTCCTTGGACGCCCCCAGTGGAGCAGCCGTCGAGGCCATAGTCGCACATCGGGACGAGATTGTAGCAGGGCTCTTGGCCGTGCTGGGCGAAGCGACAGATTGACGCGGATTACGCCATCCGGGCTGCTGACGTGGTGGCGAATGGCGGCCTCGAAAGGGGCTGCCCCTCGTCCCCGTGAGGATAGGATCGCTGTGCTGGGGTAGCGGATCGGCAGGACTGCTGTGCTGGGGCAGCGGATTCAGCGTCTAGAAGCAGGATTTGGACTTGCTGAAGTTGCGTTAGCTGCTGCTGGGTGCAGGCGGACAGGTGAGCTATGTGCACGTGGTCAACCGTGCCAGGAAGCGCAGGTTGTGGCCTGTTGGCCGGCGTGGAAGCTGCGTTCATACAGTAAGCCCTGGAACTTACGACTCCTCTGCTCCTGTTGCTCAATTCTCAGGAAGAGAGGTTTCAGGCTTGGTGTCCCAGTCCCTCGTTTGCATATGCCACTTTCGTTTCCCGGCCTTAGGTAGCCACATCCCATTACAAACTTCATTCGGCGTCGACAGGATAGTTCCATGTCGTTGATAAGCGCCAAAGGGCAAGTAATTGATATGCATCGCGAACCTAGCAGCAGTTTGTAAGCGCGTATATGTAGCTCCAGAACCAGTTAAAAATGTCTTGCCAGCTTACCTGATGATATGCTTACTGTTTTTCTCTGACTATAACACATTAGGTGGTGTGCTGCCGACGTTATCTGTCAAGCTGCATTGTCGCTCCTTGGTGCGCCACTCATTGACGGCTACGTTGTCTCCATACTCTAGAGTCTTGCCATGGCCGCTGCACCACAACCCACTGTTGATGAACTAGAGAAAAAGGAGGAGGACGAGTACCGCACTGGGCCGCTATCGGTCTTAACTCAGAGTGTCAAGACTAACGGACAGGTGCTCATCAACTGCCGGAACAACCACAAGCTACTTGCAAGGGTGAAGGCGTTTGATCGGCATTGCAATATGATTTTGGAGAACGTCAAGGAGATGTGGACGGAGATTCCGAAGACGGGGAAGGGCTCCAAGGGCTCCAGGCCGGTCAACAAGGACCGCTTTGTTAGCAAGATGTTTTTGCGAGGAGACTCTGTTATTATGGTTCTGCGCAACCCGAAATAGTGAGCCAGATCGCATGGCTGCCCAGCCCCCTGCCAGCCAGTCAGCGAGCCCATGATCCATTGGAGACGACGACTGCATAATAGTGTGGCATCATGCGGGCGGCCATTCTGCAGCTTGGCGGGCGCCTTGTACTTCTTGGGTTTCGCGTACGGGGGGCCCTACTGATTGGCTCATATCTTGTTGCGTTATGTGCTTGGGAGACAGCCTCGGTCAACCCTCTTGGTTAGGTCAAGCGTGTCACACGCCAACGATATTGCGTTTGATTGTTCCGCGACGCCATGTCGTTAATATGGGCATGTAATCTGGGTTTACCGCGTCGGAATTTGGTGACCCGATTTATAGGGATGTGCTGTCCGCTAACGCTGACCTGACGTGCCCGACACGCCGTGCTTCTTAGGTCTGCCTAACGATGCTCCTCGGGAGGATGCAAGCATGTTAAATATAGGTTATGTTGAAAATGCTGGACTATTTGATGCATTATGAATGGCTGCGTTCGGTATCCCTTCCTGTAACGGCGTGGCTATGGCTAGACGGAAAATGGTCAACACTCGCAGCATACACGGCCGCACGCACGCAAGCATAAAAGCTCCTAATTCACTAGAAATGAACCGGTTGGCTGCACACTTGCAAGCGTTCTCTAAAGCGGAGTTGCCATGAAAAGATCTGTACGAGTAGTAATTGCATTGGTGAGGCAACCGGCGCCAAAAGCCATTGGAAAGTTTTTGGCGACGATGCTGATGCTGAGCAGGCGTGCATGGCCAGCTCACACACACACACACACACTTGTTTGTCTTTGTGGAGCAATCCTTTGCTGATTCAGAGTGCCGTACCACGCGGCAACCTTGCCTTCGCTTGATGTATACGTACAAGGGCCAGCCACCCATAAAGCTGGTGGATGGGATAACGACTAATGGACGACTAAAGTGGATCAGGGGCCTCCCGGCCAGTCGCTGTGCTGTGCAAGACAGCAACGGAGCTTTTCATACCTCCGTGCTCCGACACACAATAAAACAGGCCGAGACTCGTAACCAAATACAGTCCCTGTAAATGCCCTACAGAACGGGACACAATCGGCGGGGGTTGCAAGCTTGTAAGCCGTTAAACTCCCGAGCTCGGTGACCCCCATCCTGGCATGTCCTAATACGGCACGGATTGCGCGGGGCACTGATCTCTCTTGGCCAGGGAGTATTTTAAGCGGCAGAGGGAATCAAATTCTTCTTGCGATAACAGTAATGCACGAGTACATCTGGCGTATGGGTCTGCTGTGCGGTTAGATAACTTGGCCATCGTACGACCTCCATTGTTCGGATTCATGACCATATATAGCCGGAGCTAGGATTCGGTTTGCATCGGTTGGGACCATGTTGTCGGTTGAGTCCGTTGATAAAGTATGTAGGCGGAAGCGGTTTGTCAACCGAAAAGCACATTGTTAGGAAACCTTAGCTTCCTATTGCTTCCTTCGTCTGCACTGGGTTCGACTTCTGAGCCCCCGCGGAACCCATACCCGGGGTGCAGGCAGTACGGCAGCTTGTAGGATGGGTTGCGCTTGGTGCTGAAGCCGTAGCCAGGGCTGAACATGCTGCAGCCTGGGCGGCAGCTAGGCTGGCCACGGCTAGGTGTGTGCGCATCACACAAGAGCCTGATACCACGCTTGAAGGCCCTCAGCACGTGGGCCACGAGGCCCATGTGGGTGACCTGACCTGACTGCGTGGACAAAGAAAGCACAATGGAGATGTGGAGGAGGGTAGTCGGGGCCGCAGACATCCGCGCAGGCATCTATGTGCCCGGGGGAGGCTCCGAGGTCAGCGACATGCGGATGTCCTGTCCCGCCAGCTCCGCACAAACAGCACCGGCAGCACAGCCGAACTGCAAGGGAAGGAACGAGCAAAGTGCTGTGGTGACAGCAATAATGGACAGCCGGGGCACCGTCCAAAGCGGCCCCAGCTCGCAGTCTCGATGTATAGCTCTGAGGATCTCCCAGCCTTCCATGCAGATTTACAGCACCCCCCTGACCTGCCTGACCTCGGCCAAGACATCCATCACCGTCCAGGACACCCCCCTCGTTGCACCGGCAGCTATGTGCCTCGTATGACGCCTTCACTGTCTGAACTTTCCGAGTTTTCCGAGCTACCTGCGTCTCTCCGAGCAACCAAGCTCCGTGTTCCCCAGGTCCAACTGCTTGGTGCTGTCGTGGCCATGGTACGGGGCTCGCACCATTGATCCGGTCGAATGAACCATTATTATTTCCTCATTTTTCATTTATCCTCAACCGCCCCAAGCCGCAGTATCCCACGGCTCTGGCCGGATACTAGGCCTGGCAGAGGGCCAGCAGGAAAAATGGGTTAAAAGCGGATTAATCGGAACCAGTCCGAATTGCAGCTCCGAAAGCTCGCCCGTTTCGCATGCCCGTACTGTATGTTGTTACAGGGTGGTATAGCTTCACCAGCGGCCCCCTTTTCCAAGGCATTTCCCTGCTCTCTAATCCGTTCACCCCATCCGATTTCAGAATGTGATCACCGGGTTGAGCAACTCAATACCAGCATCCAACCAAATTTAGCGGATCAACGGCGCCTCAACTTAAGTTCTGATCAGCTCGCTAATTGATGTTCTCACGTCCTACACCGCCCAGAAGATGGGGGGCTACCGCCCAATTCATCACCGCTCACACGCTCGAGAGGTCGGCAGGCAGATTTGAACCCGGACACTCCGGGAACAGAAGTCAGGCCTTAATCTCTGTACATCACAAGCAAACAACAACTGTCGGTCTGTCACTCATAACCGAAACCATTCATCCCCCAAATGGGCCTCCTCTGCTATCTCACACTTCATTGGTCGCATAGGGAAGTGAGCGTTTTGCGTGCGTTCGGTGCTTGTGGTCCTTGCTCCCTGTCCCGGCCTGTCTTCCTCACCGTATCTGGCCAACTGTGGTCCTAGCTTCCTTTCCCCCTCGCCGTGTTTTTTCCTTGTCTCCGCCTTCTGTCTTTTTCCAGTCCTGATGAGGTTGCAGTTTGCAACTTGTCGCTGCTTTTTTCCTTCTTTTGGATAGAGTCCCTGTTCATGTTTGGGTTCTACGTTTTGTCCATCATCTTTGATTGGTTACAGTAGCTTTTTGCGGCGTTCCTCGATTAGAGCTTGTTTGCCGTTTCCTTGGTTACGCTCGGTCCTTTTGCTACAGAACTACAGGTACGGCATCTGTATTCAAGCGAGACGGCCTTTCTGTGGCGGACTCTATGAACAGCACATGGCACACTATCATACAGATACAAAATTCTTGAATAAAGCAGATATCCCTGCCCGATCAGGCTCTAGGAATCAGCCCTTCGGATAAAGTGCGCATGCTAGCGTGCGTCTGTAGCGGGCAGCATGTTGGGGATCAACTCGCTGCTAATAACCGTAAATCTTACGCATCTTTGTATAAAAAATAAATCTCTTTTTGCTGTGGGATAGGTAGGTCATACGGAAAGGACTGCGGCCTTGCTAAGGGTAGGAAACTGGTAGGAACGGGTAGGCCGGGGTAGGAAAGCAACTTTGTCCAGTCTCGCATAACCCCGTTATAATTTCGAGGCTAAAACTATATTTAATGTCCTATTATTTGAAGCACATGTTAATAGCATTGAATGTTGTTTTCTGTAGTCAAAAGCGTCAAAAGTGCAAGGTTGACTTTCCTGCCGGACGTAGAGATCAGAGCCTTACTTTTTTGACATAATAGATTTTATAATATATAAAGCTTAATTATGTTTATGCAGATGTATGTGTCATGATGGTGGGAACGATGACTTGCAAAAATTGGCCTATCGGCTCAGATCGGCAGCGGCAAATACCTATCTCTTATCTTGTTCGCTGCTTACCTCCAGGAATTTTCCGTGTAAGATCTAATAAAATTTTACAACAATATGCAACCATAAGTAGTGCGTGTAACGCAGCGATCGTAATTAGGCAGTCCTTCGCTTAGCTGGCTGGGTAGGGTGTCCAAAGACCACTATTCGCCTTCTGGCCGCCCAGATCTGGTTCAACCAATTGCATAAAAAAATCTCCGATCGTTTCATTTGGAGCCCCACTCCAAGGCTGAGCATGTACCACGGATGCCCGTTATCACGTCCTTTGCGGGGGAGGGCGGACGGGGGCTGCTGCAGGGCGAAAACAGGGGAGCTCTGCTACTGCGCTCGGCCTTTTTCATGAAGGACCAGTTTCTGCTTCTTCCATAATTCCTATCTGCTAGAGTTACCTCAGGTAACTCATCAGGTCAGTCTGTAGGTGTGTTGTGTTAGGTCCTGTCAGGGATGCAACCGGTGGTTTCAACTACCGTTGGAGCCCGTCAACCCATGAACACAACTTGATTTTACATGTTACAAGGATTTGTAAGCCGCTGGACGTTTTAGCACCATTATATTCTCGCGCTGGAACGTCTGCGTCTGCGACGAAGGAGAGCACACTTTGATTAGCATGGACACCAGGGGCGCCCCATTCCGCAGCGCAACCGAACAAGAGCATGCGCCATCTTAATCAGTTTTGAGTTGAGAAGCTCTTGTTGCGGAATCCTGTTGGGCGTCCCTGACCGCATTCAAACCCCCCATGCCTTTACCGACCTTTGCCGAACGTCGCGGAACGCTTCGAGTTATAGCAGCTCGAGACATTGCCCTTCAACCGGTACCTCGAATAGTTTAATATAATACTTATTAATATTTCTCTTACGAATTACCTAGGTTGGCTGGCATTTGGGACACAGGGCCCAGGGCCGCTGCTGCTTCGTTGCAAAGCACTATGCTATTTGTACACGCCCTAAAGCGCTTACTTGCCGCACGCACCTTTTCAGTTACTTTTTTCATATACAAGCATGAAAAAACATTATCCTGGACTTATCAAACAATAGTTTGGAGGAAAAAGAGTTTTGCGCTTGCGCCGCGCGCTTCTCGCCACGCCGCGCCAGCATTCAGGATATCTATACGTAACAACAATATGACTTACTTCACAGTACAATAAACTATTTGTGAAGAATTTAGCTTTGTGCTCCACGACGCCGCGCTATGCAGATGAAAGCTTTCCTGCAAATATTTGATCCTTTCATATGTCAAGAAGCAGCTGGAACTGCCTGAACGATCTTCCCATCCAGTGCCTGTTGCAATACTCGCTCGCAACCCAGGCAGCTGCGTTGGTCTTGGTCTGCCGATACGCTTGATCACCAAGCCTCGCGCCCACTCATCAAGTGCAAACCCACGTATCTCCTCCCGGTGCGGGTCGGGTGCTCATGCCTTCGTTAACCCTCCCACAACCACGAGCGCAGCACCCCCCAACACCACCAAGTTTGCACCCAGCATCGCGCACATGTCAAATCCGAATTCATCCGATATTTGTGAGTAGACGTCTCTTCTGCGCCTGCCTGGGCGCCAGGGCACTGCTCTCACCGGCAATCGGCTGCATGCGTTGTGGCTATGTTCGGGACTGGGAGACAGCAACCTGGGTAGAGCCGGGCCTTCGCCCGCGGGCCCCACAAATCCCTCGGGTGTGGCAATTAGCATCGGCAGTTTTGCACTGCGGCGGTTCGGATGCAGTACACCAGGACGGAGGTCCGAGAGCCTTACATTGGGAAAAATAGTATAACCATGTAAAGTCTAACTTGTAAATGGTTTCTTGCTGCTGCTATAGGTGTTGTGGCGCACAAAAATGTGGGCGCCGGCCTCAATGGCGGGTTTTTGGGAGGACATAGAAGGTTTTGCAGCTGGACTGAGATGCATTTTTATCAAGAATAGCTATCAAGCTGCATGTGGCTAACCTGGAGACATGTATCACTCCTGCAAGAACAGGCCACGCCATGGGGAAACGTCGTGATTAACATCACTGAAAATTACTGCTACCCACACGCCAAGGACAAGATGATAATATGTAAATTATTTTCCTCTACTTTAATTAGCGTCCAACAAGCTATTATGGTGGCGAACCAAACAACTCGGGGATTGCATGGAAAACAGAACGTTCAGGCAAATAATGCGGATAAGGCCAACAATCAAATGAAATATAATGAGTTCATTTTACACTGCCATATGGAAAGTGGTGCATTGCTCAACACGACATTGCCTCAATGCGATGCTCCCATGTCCGCAGGGCTACTGCCGTGAGGACGGAGATTTGCGTTAACGCTGGAGCAGGTTTCAATGCATTACAGCAAAAACATATTTTGCCTTCAGATAAATCGGCTGAACAACCCGGGTTTCCCTTCGCTTGGAACGTGTGGGCAAGGGCATGGCAATGCCGCAACAACTCATATCTTATTAGCATGAATCTCATATAAAGAAGGTAAATTTTTCTTTATGTCCTAAAATAGTAATATCTCAGATAAGATGATCTTTCAGGACGCACCCCGTGAAGCGACACTCGGGTACGAACTGTAACGTCCAGCGCTGGGTGAGGTGACATCGGCGGACACGAAAGTGTTGTCACTTGGCCTAACCAGTATGATATCTTTATAGGAGCTTGATCTGCTTGGCGCGGCGCTGCATGGTACAGGTTGCAGAGCGCGCAGCAGACTCCTGCGACATAGTGCGCGGACATCAGTTGGGTTCCGAAACGCAGCCTGAAGCCATTCAGAGCTACTAAACATATTACATTCATTCAGCAAGTCCGGCCTGCGCCTCAACCTGCTGGGATTGTCGCAAGGTAAAGGTCATGGCGATGCATGCGGGCGTCCCAGCCCAACAGAACACCAAGCTGCGCCGCACATTTATTACCCAGGCTAAATGATATATTTAGTATTGTGTTTGCTTTGCTGCAAATCGATTGTCGGAAGTAGCGCGCCTCACAACGTGTGACCCGGGGTCACTTAACATCTAACGAGTTCCTTGCACCTCACTTCCGCATTACCACTTCTTCGCAGGCCAAGCGCAACAACGACCTTCAACTTTACCACCTCACAACCTCCCACATAAACCAAGAACCTTCACGACCTTGGGGATACCGCCAGACTGTCCGTAACTAGGCCGTGGGTGTTCTTGGTGCAAGCACGCACAACGACGGCGACGCCCGAACCTCCCGCTAGTTCTTTAGGCAAGGCAGCAACCTAATCCGACTATTGCTCCAAAGTGTCGGCTCGGCTTTATTCCGGAAAGTCATCAACCTGAAGAGCAACCTGGATCTCGCTCCGGAACCACGGACAGCTGCGAACAGCAATCCGAGCACCCCCTGCAGCAGATGTCTCTTCCTCCCCAGGCATCAAACCACTTGACTACCCATCCCCACCAGCCCCTCCACCACCTGTCTCCGGTTGAAGTCATCCATCACAACGCAATGTCTGACAAACCTATGGACTCCCAAGGCGAGCGACCTCCTGTCGAGACCCCGCTGCCGTCATCTGGCGCCCTCCGCACCACCCGGTACGACAGGCCCCAAAACAACGTCATCTGGCTCGCAGGCGTTGCCGCCGCCGCTGCTGCCGCTACAACCAATGCTACAGCAACGGTGGAGCCGCCGCCGCCGCCGCCTACTACTCCCGCGGAGCCGCCATCAAACAGCGAAAACTTCGCCAGGTGTGGCGGCGGCGGGCAGCAGCAACGAGGCTCCAACGAGACTCTAGCCGCCTCCGGCGGCGGCGACGCCGGCGGCCGTGGCCGAAAGGCGCTTGCTGCAGCCACCGCTGCCACGGCGGCACCGCCAGCGCCGTCGCCATCGCCGCCGTCGGCAACGGCCGCAGGGCTGCTCCTGCCCAGCGGTGCGCGGATCATTACAGATGCTGCGATCTCCATCGGTGCGGGCCGTCGCTTCCAAAGGGCCGTACATGTACGGCGCAAGGACAATCGCGAGCCCTTCAGCATCACTCTCGACCTGCTGCGGAGCAAGTCCAAGGTACGGCACTATGAACACGACTTATAGCTTGATCCACATACTGCACTCTTTCATACGTACGCACAGCGTGTCGTACAGTACTTTCATACGAGTGGTGCAAATCCCGCTCACGCATAGACGACCACATATCCGTGCGTTGGATGTCCGTCTAATGCTTCGCTAGAGGATGTTTGATACCTTCTTAGGACGGATTTGCCCTGGGGTGGCCCTAGGGGCCCCTCCGTCTCCCCCCCCCCGTAAGGGTCATCCTGCCTGCACGAGGTCCGCCTTCTTCCTCTTTACTGGCCTTGTTATTTTCCTTCTCCTCTCCTTCTCCTTCCTCCTCCGCCTCCCCCCGTCCTCACCTTCCTTTTTCCTCCTTCTTCGCCTGCCATTGTACACAATACTTTTCCAGTCAGACCTCGGCCTCATCCTAACGTTTACAGAGTCCCCCCATCCCGGCTCCCAAAACCTTCGTTCATGGACCGCCCTGATGCTCTGGTAATCCACATTACTCCTCTCCCCCCTCATCCCAAATTCCACCATCACTCCCACAATCCCGCACCTCCCCCACCCATACCATCCCCCTACATGCCACACACGCACACGCACACGCACACAATCAGGGGTTCTCGCTGGACATAACTGAAACCGCCCGCGAGGTTGGCGTGTGTGCAACCGTCATGAAGCGGGCGTGTCGTTCTCTGGGCCTTATCAACGGTTGGCCGTTCCGAGTGTGGAAGCGTTGCAACTACCTGCGAGATGCGTATCTCAAGGTGGGACATACAGACATAGACATGTTGTTACAGGGTGGTCAACTTCGCCAGCGGCCCCCTTTCCCGGGGCAGTCCCTGCTCTCCCCTGCTAGAGGGGCACCCTAATCCGTCACCCCATCCGACTTCAGAATGTATTCGTTGGGTTCGGCAACTCACCACCAGCATCCAACCAAATCTAGCGGATCAACGGCGCATCAACTTAGTTCCTGGTCAGCTCGCAAGTTGATATTATCACGTCCTACACCGTCCATAAGATGGGGGGCCACCTCCCATTTCATCACTCCTCAAACACCCGAGGAGCCGGCAGGCGGATTTGAACCCGGGTCGACTGGGTCGACTGGGAGCAGAAGTCAGGCCTTAACCTCTGCCAGCCGCCTGCCATAGACATAGACAGACATACAGACATAGACATAGACAGACTGACAGACATAGACATAGACAGACATAGACATAGACATAGACAGACATAGACATAGACAGACTGACAGACTGACAAACTGACAGACGGACAGACGGACAGACGGACAGACGGACAGACGGACAGACGGACAGACGGACAGACGGACAGACGGACAGACGGACAGACGGACAGACGGACAGACGGACAGACGGACAGACGGAAAGACGGACAGACGGACAGACGGACAGACGGACAGAGTGACAGACGGACAGACTGACAGACTGACAGACTGACAGACTGACGGACATAGACAGACTGACGGAATCCGGTGAAGTTACTCGTGCGCCATGTCATCCTTCTTCGCCATTCCCCTGGCGCATGGGCCTCCTGGTAGAGTGTCAGTCACACACATTGATGGACTGACGGACTGACGGATGCACCGCTGTGTGATTTGCTTTCACGGCAACGGAACGGAACGTTCAGGACGCCATTCGGATGGTTTCAGAGGCCGCGGCCTTGGAGCAACAATTTGCGCTGTCACCGCAGCACGCCGCAAAAGCGGCGGAGATGCGGAGTGAAGCTGCCCGGCTCAGGGTAGGTGCGTGTGCGGGCGTGTTAAACAGGCACAGGAGGTGGGTAGATGGGTGTGTGTGTGTGTGTGTGTGTCTGTGTGTGTGTGTGTGTGTGTGTGTGTGTCTGTGTGTCTGAGTGTGCGTTTGTTACATATCGGTCCGGGCCTGACAGTGGGCAGGGGCACCTAACCGTATACCCCAACGGGAACGACCGCCGAAGCAGTCGCTTCTTCACACCGACACCGGCACCGACACCGTCAGCCTGTCTGTGTGCTTGTAAGCGCCTGATTTACATTTAAACAGAAAAGATAAGTGTGTGTGTGTCAATTTTGTGTTTGCATTTGTACTTTTCCCCCCTCCCCCCCGGCCCCGCCCCGCTCATGGCTGCCCAAAAGGCGCGAGTCGAAGAGGTGGATCCCCATGGTGGGCGAGTGTGGTGGCGGACCCGGTGGGCCGGGAGCTCCAAGGAGATCCGTTTTTCGTTAATAATGTCGTACGGTGGACCCAAAGTAAGTACAAGGAAGCCCACAGGCTGCGCGCCGGCGCTGCTCGTGGCGGTGGTGGCAGCAGCGGCAGCGGCGGCGGCGGCGGCGGTACGACACGTAGTCGCAAGCGGGGCTCCGGCAGCAACGGCATCGGCGGCGGCGACGGCGCCGACGCGGAAGCAGCCGGACTTGGCGGCGATGAAGAGTACGGAAACGCCTCCGGCGATGAAGACGTGGAGGGTAAGGAAAGGAGGAACTGGGGCAGCGGCGGCGCTGGCGACGGCGGCGGCGGCGGCGGCGGCAGCACCGACTGGGAGTGTGAGGGGATGGAGGGGATGGACGGTGATGGGGTCAGTGATGATGAGCCTGGCGGCGGTGGCATGACAACGACGACGACGGCGACGGAGGCTGCGCGGCGTAGGAGCTCAAAGGCGACTGGCGCCGCCGCCGCCGCCGCCGCCGCCGTCGGCGCCGAAACCGGACCAGAGATTCCAGATTCCATGGTACGGGACGCAGCGGCGGATGCAGCTGCTGTCGGGTTGGACGGCTGCTACGGCGCGGATGCATGCGATGACGACCAGTGTACAACGGCGCCAACGTGTGACCCATGGGTCCGAACCCTGGCCGATATGACCTCCCGGCCACGGCTACAGCCCACTTGGCATCTAAACCCGTCGGGCGGCGACGCAGGCGCCCATAGTTCCGCCACCCAGCGCGACGGCTCAGGTGAAGCCGCTGCTGCGGCAGCAACGCAGTACGGCACCCAGCCGCCGCCGTACTGGCAATCGTCTAGCCCGGAGAAGCCGCACACATTGGCTCTACCGAGGCTACCGCCGCCGCCACCACCGCCACTGCACAATACAAATGTCTTGATGCGACTTCAGCGGAATGACCTTCAGTTGCAGCTACAGCTGCTACAGCAGCAAGAGCAGCAAGAGCAGCAGCAGCAGCAGCAGGTACGGAGACGCGCTGGGGAGCGGGACGCGAAGCGCAGGAAGCTCCAGGTGGCTGATGCGGCGGACGGCGGACACATCGAGCTACAGCCGCTCCCGCCACCCCCACGGCGCTTGTCCTCGGACTCGCACCTGCAGCTGCTGCAGCTTTCCGCTTCCGCTCCCTGCATGCCCCGAAACCAGTCTGACCACCTGTCTAGGGACCTGGTCCAGGCCCAAAATTTAAACATTGTCGCGCAGCTAGACGCAGTACGGCATCAGATCGGCACCGCTGACAGCGTGCTCAGCGCTACCATCGCCGCCGCAGCAGCAGCCGTTACCAACGGCAACTGCGGCGGCGGCGGCAGCGGCTTCAGGCGTCAGCGGTCTCGGAGCATCACCATATTAGGCGAGACGCTGCAGGACTGCCGACATCACCAAACGACAGAAATCGTACCTGTCGTACAAGCAGGCGGCGGCAGCGGCTCTGGCAGCGCCGCGGTAGCTGAGCCGACTGCTCCTTCAGGTCCACGTACTCACGCGTGGGCGCTGCTAGGGCCGACCTCAGGTGGCGACGGCGACGATGGCGTGCTGGCGGCGGCGGTGCGGGGCCACGCCGGCAATGCCGTACCACAGTTTCCAGAGCAGGGCAGCATCCCTAGCTTAAACGAACTAGCCGATGTGGCAGCAGCGTCGGCGGCGGATGGAACGCAACCGTTGCCCCTTCGTGGGTCCGGCAGCGGTGGTGGCAACGGCGGCGCCGGCGGCAACGGCGGCGGTGACCATGCAGCCCCGTCAGCGATGTCCGCGGCGGCGGCGGCGGTGCAACGGACCATCGCGTCCCTCCCGCATTCGCCGTACCACGCTATGTCGTCCTTGCCGGCCGTGGCGTTTGCATCACCGGCCCGTACGGCATGGCTGCCACGTGTACCTGGTGGGGGCGGCGGTGGCGGCGGCAGTAGTGGCGCTGACGTCCTTGCCGTATTCAGCACTGCTGAGGGGGAGCCATTGCGCCGCCGGCAACCGTTGAACTCTTCGCCGTCGGCGCCGTCCTCCCCGCCGTCGCCAAGAGACCGCACGCAACCAGCGGCGGCGCCTCAGGCATTGCAGCAGCAAGTTGCGCCGTTCAGGCTATCACGCGAGTCCGCCTTGTCGTCGCTTGACGCTGCGGCCGCGGCGGTAGCAGCGGTGCCGTCGCCTCCGCCGTCACCTCTCTCTCCGCAGCATCCCAGAGATCAAGCTCACATGTCCACACGGCTGATACGAACGGTGCACGCCGCCAGCGGCTATGCAGACCGGATGCGCGTGCATGCCACCGGCGCCGGCGCCGCTGCCGCCACTGTGGCGGCTGCTGCTGCTGCTGCTGGTGGCTGCCCCGGCCTTTCGCCGCGTCTGCCTGAGCCCCTCATCTTGCAGCTGCAGCATGGCGCCCAGCAGCAGCAGCAGCAGCAGCGTATTGGCTTGGCGGCAGCGACCGCAACGGCGTACCTCCGCAAACAGCAGGCAGATTCAGCGGCGGCGGCGGCGGCGGCAGCGCCGTCCTCGCCGTCGCCATCTCCGCCGGTCCTCCAAGATTTCGACACCGTCCCGTTTACCCAGCAGCCGCAGGGACATGGCGCCGCCGCCGCCGCCGCCGCCTCCGCCTCTCCCTTCCGGCCCTACGTGCCCCTAACGCCTCGCAGCTCCGTACTTTTGCCTCTGATGCCCCAGCCCCGGCTGCAGCCCCAACGGCATCAGCAACAGCGCCAGTCGTCGGCTATCCAAATGACCCAGCGGGCGCCTGGCGTTGCCGGACCTCAGGCTCGCTCGCCACCGCGCCACGCGCTGCCGTCGCCGCCGCCACCACAGCAGCAGCATGCGTCGGCGGCTGCCGCCGCCAACGCGGCTGGCGGCGGCTGCAACAGCTCATCACCGAAGACATCTCCGGCGCTCGGCGCTGGCGCCTCCTCTCCACCCAAGCCGGCGGCCGTGGCAGCCCCGCACGCTGCTTCAGCCGGCGGCAGCGCCGGCGGCGGCGGCGGCGCCTTATCGTCAATACTTCAAGAGCTTCAGCCCTTGCTGCCTGCTGAGGTCCGAAGAGCGTTGTCGGAGCTGCTACAGTCGTCACCAAGAACCACTGCTACAGCCGCACCATCAATTACAACGATTGTGCCATCTGCCCAAGGCCGAAGTCCGCGGCAGGAACAGCAACGCCAGCAACAGCAGCAACAGCAACCGCAACACCAGCAACAGCAACCGCAACAGCAGCAACAGCAACAGCAGCAACAGCAACAGCAACAACAAGAGCAGCACGATCATCCGGATCGGGAGCAGCCGCTGCAGCCGGATCACCTGCAGGCGGTGCTGATGGCTTTCGCAACACAGGTCGCGGACCTGGCAGCGCAGCTCAGGGAGTCTCGACACCAGGTCCAGCTGTTGGAGCTTCGAGTGCTGGTGGCTGAACAAAAGGCTCAGGTTACGGAGCTGAAGCTGCAGATGGCGGAGCAGCAGCGGACGGCGGCAGGTTGTGCGATGGTGGGTGCATCTGAAATTAACGGTGGTGGTGGTGGTGGTGGTGGTGGTGGACGGAGCTGATGAGGTGTCGCGGGCCGGGCCACCGATAACGACGGAGTATCTTCTGTGATCTGCGTCCCACCGACTGGCTTCAGCTTACAGACTCCCTCGACGTGGCATTGCACTCTGTGGGTGGCTGCCTCGACGATGGTGGGTGCAACTGTGCAACGTAGAATGCTTTGGAGCAATCAGCAGTAGTAGGAGTGGCAGCAGTGAAGTAGGAGTAGTAGGGGTAGTAGGAACTTGTGACGACAGGTACGGGAGTATGTGTTGGGGACTAAGCGAGGTCTTGGGGATTAGGAATCCATAGGCAAGAGCTACGCATCTTTACGAATTGTTCGTCGCCGTGCAAAGCGGCATGGGCGTGGGTGGGCCGTGCAAGCGGCATGAGCAACCAAACAGCAGCGCACGTCGGCGCAACGACGCCTCATTCTTTTGTGGGCTATGTGGGAAGCGAAGGCGATCAGGCAAAATAGGACATCGCTTTTATCAACTCCAAGAAAAAAATGTTCATGTTTTTTGATAAAGTCACGGCTGCTAGTTGTGGAAGCATTTTGCGTGGTCGCTCTCTGGGGAGACGGGAAACCTATGAGCCAGTTGTTTCCCAGCTTTTCGAGCTGTCAATCGCGTCGTCAGATATCGCGTTCTTGCGTTCCGAACTTGTCGAGTCTGGATCTCTATTTGGGTGTATGTGTCTTCCTGGCAATTTTGGCTGTATACTGTATGCGCTCATACGCGCTCCTCCTCGCCGACGTTTTGTGCCTCCCTAGCGGGACGTACAGGTAGATGGTAGTCAGGAGCGGTCCTGCCGCAATGGTCGGGCCTCGTTTCATATCACCAGGCTCCGAGAAATTTGAGCATCATACATATTAAAAAAGGGCGAAGGCCACCGGTATGCATGAGGTTAAGGCCCGAAGAACATGTCTTGGCGACGCTTATTCCTTGCGATTTCCGCTGCTTTCTCCTTTTCCGGAATTTCCGGAAAACATCGTTCGGAGATTTTGGTTACGGCCACTCCGTGAATTCCGTTTGTTGTGACGGTGTTTACGGTGATGCGATTGGCGCGCTTTATTAGGCACAGTTCTTCGCCACATGCATGTCAATTTTTACCTCAGCAGAGATGCGGGGTTTCGAAGCTCGTACGAAACGTACGACACAAGGACGCGTGCAGCGTGGTTCTGTACCCGCTGTAGCGTCTTGGCTGCAGAGCAAGGTGGTGTGGCTTGATGGAATGTCATACATGCGCATGTATGATGTCTAAAGCACATTGACGCGCGGTCAATATGCATCACGCACGTTGAGCGGCGAAGGAGAGAAAGCTTGCAGAGCCACCGTTGCAGTTCTCGTCTCGGAAGCCATATGGCCGTACATGTAAGTCATGTACGACAGGCTGTTTATTTGGATATGTGGACGGAACCGATTTCCAGCGCGTGCGTACGTGCATATGCGATTCCCCGCAGGTGGGGGCGAGATGGAGGACTGTCTTTGGGTTTCCATCCACATTTCCGCTCCATATCTCCACTTCGTTCTTCTGGCCACCTCGCATCCCATCTCGTAACTGCACCCCCTGTCGTGGCTAACGATAGCCGTACTGCAACTGGTTGTACGGCGACCAAGCTGAGATCGGCCAGGAGATGAAGCTTCTGGATAGAAGCGCTCGTTGTTCTGTTTTCCTACTGGTGAATTTTCTCGTACACAGCATCTGTGTGCTTTGCATTGCTTTTGGGCGTGTGTGCTTGTGATTATGCATGTATGTGTGTATGTGTGTGCGCTTTGAGGAATCGCGCTGCGTACGTTATGTATGATGTGCGGGACAGGGGGGCCATATCTTCACCCGTGGCCGCTACCCGGCGAAACCCTGCCTTCCCCGGTATTTTATGCATGTATGTATGTATTATGTATGCTTCGGGTTGCGCGTGGATTACTTCTCTTCTGCGGCTGTGTACATCTGTACATACAAAGCTGCTCGGCACCTGGCGGCTCTGGACGGGTACCGTTGAAGTGCAGAGCTGAGATGGTCACCCCCCGCTCTGGCGAGAGTCTAACAGCCCTCCCCTTCCTCGCACCGCCGTGTGGTAACCGGGGGGGACTAGTGGTTGGGGGTACGCTGGTGGTGTTGGTGACGGCGTTGTTGGGTGTAGTTGGGGCTAGGGCCGCTTTAAGGTGCACGTGACACACGCGCGCGCTATTGCAGAGTATCACGCGCGCCCTCCATGAAGGGTGTGGCGTGTGTGTGTAGCCAAGGTTCGGGGGAGGTGTCGCCTAGGTAGATGAAGGTTTGTGTATGTTGGCAAATCTTCTTGAGTGTGCGGGTGACAGTTTTTGGCACGAATATTTGTGGAATTGTGCATTTGCATGTGCAGATGTATGTATGTATGTCTCGTGTCCGTGTATGTATGAGTGTGTGGTGTATGGGTATGTTATGTATGAGTGTGTGTGTGTGCGTATGTATATGTGAATGCGTATCTGTGTGTACCCGCGCGTGTATGTATGTATGTATGTAGTCGGCTGCCGACAGCAGCAAAGCAAGCTGTTAGATTAGACAGTAAAAGTGGTTTTATGTGTGTTTCGGTGGCGCCCATAGATCACACATCAGCTGTCGTGTATCGTGTACGGCAGCATTCGAATCCATTGAGTTGCAGATCTAATTTGTTTTTTTCGCGCACTTCATGTTGAGAGATGAGGCAATTTGGAGTAGGCGGACATCTGTGTCCGGTGTAGTTACGATGAGCCATAAAGCGCGCTTGGAGGCATTCAGTTGAGTTGATAAGCCAGCCCTTGACAATTTTGACACAGGCTTTCTGGTATGTTCGATGCTATTTTCGTTGGCTGCCTGGTTGAATGTATTCACGGAATTCTGGGAGGACATTATTGAAACCTGTTTGTACTCTTAGTATGGCCATTAGTACGGCCAAGTAGCAAACTAATCTCGGGTACGGCAGATATCCGCTAATATCCGCATCTTGTGCCACACGTGGCATGAATGTCAAGCTTGGATGAAAAGAGTTGTGTTACATATAATTGATGTGTAGCTCAAGATTTGCCACCTTTACAGGCCAATTTGCAGTATTGTACTACTCTTATGCACATGCTATTGACGTGAGCCTGAGCCTTCTATTGAGACGAGATCTCCTGTGAAGACGCAATGATATGGAGTTCTGGGGCCCGTCCGTTCGGGACACAGACAGTGTTTGTTACCCGGTCTGTTCCTCTACTATACCTACCTACGCCATGGACACGCGTTCGACTGCACTAACCCCCTTCACACGTGGGGATAAAACACATATGGGGCCCATGGGTCCCATCCTCATGTGTCCTATCTGCGCACAGGACTACAGTCCGCCAGCAATCAACACCAACACGACATGGGCGGTGGTACCTCCATCAACTCCAGCTCTTCTCCGGCTCCGAAACCCATCGGCTGCTCACATGTGTGCATGCGAACACTCGAGCAGTCATTAACTATGCTGTACCTACTGCACTGTACATCGGGGTATGTACGCTGTACATAGCTCTGTGATTGTCGTAGTACCTGTAGCTATAGCTAGCTAGAACCAATCTGATTTAAACGTCATATAATGCGTTCTGCACCTCCTAACTGCAACGACTCCCCCCTACTTACAAGCTGTGCGCTTTCCTAGCAAAACCAACGCCTCCAATGCCACGCCATTACGAACACGTTCATCACCACAAGCGGAGTCCCTGGAGGACGGAATCCACAGCTGGCTGGGGCCCGCTCCAGAACCCCACCAAAAGTGGGGTCATTTTATCGACAACCCGCAAGACAGCTTCTAGGCTTAGTCCGCTCACCCGCCCCCTCCCGGCCCCAGCGCTCCAACCTGTTTTGACTTCAGCTGAAAACTCTCCTGAACCCTTCGCGCCAGCATCTGCGCCCCAGAACTTGCAAAGTAGGACATGGCGGGACAAGCCACCGCTGCCAGCGGACCCCCCAAAGGAAGCGCCGCCCAGCAGGCCGATGACGCACACGCTCCCACCACCACACCCGCCGCCTCCACCACCCGCCCCTCCCTCGCACTACCCATCAGCGAGTTGCACATCACCCCAACCATCCCGGCCGACAAGCTCCCCAGCAGCGCATTGGCGGTGAGAGTGCTGGCGACCGCACCCAGTCCCGCTGCAACACCGCTAAGGGCCGCGGTTTCCGCGACTATGCGCACAGTCTCACCCACTCGACAGTTTTCACTTTCCCCGCCACTTCCCAACCCTTTTCCCTTGGTGTCGGTGTTGGTGTCGGTGTCAGGCCTAGCAGCCGGCGCTGCAAGTAGCTTTCGACAATCCCCGCGGCCGTTGAAGTAAAGGAACAGGAGCGATGACGTGCAGCCCATTACCGCGCCCACTACCGCGGCGGCCGCACCATTGCGTACGGCATCAAGCGGCACGTTCGGCCGCAATGCGGTGAAGTGCCTCACCGGATGGGTGACTAGCTGCTCACCCTGAGCCAGTGTGAGGGGAGCGCTGCTTACGATATTGCCGCCGCTGTGTGCTGTCAGGCGCGGTGAGGCGCCCGGGACAGGGCGGTCGGCTGGTACGATCTTCTGCATGGGGCCGTACCGCGGGTTGCGCAAACGTTTTCGTAGGACCTTCAGGTTTTCATAGAACTTGGACTGCGCTTGGTCGACGAGTTTGCCGGCTCGCGTGTCCACGATATTAATGTCGACATCGCTGTCTCTCTCTCCCAGCATTGCCCTGGGAAAACGGCACGTGAGTGAAAGCAAAGTACACGGCACTGCGTATGGGCATTGTGTATGGGACGATAGCTGATTTGGAACACCATGAGTCTTTGCCTACCTACCTACCTGCCTACCTACCTACTTACCTACCCACCTTTGCACCATCACCATGCGCATCGCAGCCAGCACGGGGGTTGGGGAACCTACCGTATACTCCACCGTATACACACACGATACATTCTTCTCTCTCTCTTTCTCTTTGTGTAGTTGTACCTGCCTCGCCACGCCCTGCCCTGCCACTTGAGGAAACGCCACCATGGACATGACCAACTGATCGCAACATGTCACCCGCCGACCCTCCCCACCTAGAGGGCCGCTGTCCTGCCGCTATCCTTCCCTAGGAGCGGGAACACACTTTTGCAGATAGCGGCGGCTACATCCCTCTCACACTGTCACGTCGGTATCCTTACTTTTACTACTGTACATGCTCACTACACAGTTCTTGGTCGCTCTGCCACAGGCGGGTTAACTGGACGGTCGCAGATTAGCGTCTTAACTTTGTTGCGACAAGTTGGATAATTCACGAAATGAACAAGGACAGGGTGGCGGCCGCGGGGAGGGGAGGGGAGGGCTGCCAGCTGATCCGTTGCAGCGACGCAGCTTTAGCTTCCCCCGTGTGACCCAGCGAATATATCGAGCGCTACATACAACTTTGGCGCAAAATACAAATTTGCAGCAAAAAATATAAATTTGGTGTAAAGATAAAAACTTCAAATTTGGCGCAAGCATAAATTTCGCGTTCCTTGTAATTTGGCGCTGTTATGCCCATTAGGCGCCGTGCACAGATAATTTGGCGCTAAATCCAAACTTGGCACTAAACACAGTGCTAAACACATATTTGGCGCACAATACAGCGCTAAGAAAGTTAAACAATAACCCTCTTCAGCATACAGACATTGCACCAAGGTCACGTTTGCAATCGAGGTTTGCAATTGCGACTCAGGCACACAAGAGCACGTACACCTGCATTACCTTCGCCTCACGCCAGGCGTTCTTCCAGACGCACGTTCTTCCCCCTCCCTAACGGCCCTTTCCCCCCCCACACACACACATACACATACATGCACGCATTAAAGCAAATTTTTCCTCACCTCAAGCTGGATTCCGACGCCACAGCGCTGAGATTGAAAGTGGCGGCGTGGTGCACCTCAACAAGCCAGCCCCTCACTACATGAAGCGGCGCGGTGGCATGCTTCTCCAGTAAGGCCTGCACCTCCAGTAAGGCGCTCTTTAAGATCTGGATCTGCTCGGTGTTTCGAAGGATCACCGGGCGCACCACCAGGTCCCACGCCGCGGCGCTTGCTGAGACGCATGAGGAGATGAGGTGGTGGGGGTCTCGGCGTGTGCGGGAGCGGGTCGTAGAAGCCTCCGCTACCGGCATCTGGGTCTCGGCGCTTCCAGGTGTCCCTGGAAACTTGAGCAATCCTCCAGCTTGATTGTCTGTTGGTTTCTGACGATTATTCTGGTTAACGACTGGAGGAGTAGGTGGAGAGGGTGGAGGACGGTGTGGAGGAGTAGGTGGAGCGGGCTGCATTGCTCCAACTACAAGGTTATCAACTTCTGCGAGCTGCTGGCTGGCTTGAGTTGTGGACGCTTGTTGTCCCGAAGCTCCGCCTTGGCTCTCGAATTTGTCATCGGTCTTGGGATGCATCGCGCAGTTGCGCTGTGCAAACCGTACCACCCGAGGTATTTAACGACACCGATCAGGTAGCTTGAAGCGCAAGCCAGGTAAGAAGGCTATAACATTGTACCTTCCGGAGAACTGGCGGTCCACGTGCGTTGCAGGTCGCAAATCGTAAGGATTAACGAAATTTCTTATTTGGAAAATTAAGATGCAAAACAATTGTGTTGCCAAATCATCGTCGCCTTGTAAGCTATAAGAGCCCCTGACATACCCGTGACAACCCGTGGCATGATTGCCATCGTATACTCGTCGTATACGGACATGCAGTTCTCAATCAATTCGCATTACTTCGTTATTACTGCCTACAACGTTCTTCGCAGCACGACTGAGCACGACTGAAATCCCAGTACCGGTACGAGACGAGCTGGCGCCAAATTACTGAAAATGGCTGAGCATAAAACATACCAACAAGAGGGCAACATGAAACTACATACCTTGTGTCGGAACACCGAACGTGCTGCCAGAAGGAACAACGCCACCGAATGCAGGCTGTCTAAACCCCGCTTGCCTTACTCGCTCGAAGATTCGGCTGGGAACCACCACTTGCTGAACAGTTCGTTCCCTGCTACTCCTTACTATTAGACTGGTTAGCAGTCCAGTATCTGCACGCTTTTTTTCGAACATAGTTTATCAACCATGTTTGGACAGGGAACACGAGCAACGGCGTGCGGCCTGCCTGCTTGCTTACCTACCGCCCCACACGGGCGCCCCACAGCCGCACCACTACAGCGAGTCGTGTGACATCGCATGATGCACAACCCACAGGTCTGTTAGCATGCCATGACGTCACGTGAAACGATCGGTACGACGACCGGTACGAACCTGTTGTGAAAATCACTAACTCAGTTTGAAGGTAACCCAGGACAACCGCCCGACAGATCCTCCTCCTCCCCCTCCTCGCCGCCGCCCGCGTCCTCCTCCTCGTCATCATCGGCTCCCTCACCCCTTTCCTCCTCATCCTTCCCCCCCTTCGCCCAATCTGCCGTACATCCCTCTCTGGCCACCGTGGAGTTCCTCGTACATGTCTCCCTCCTCATCCTCGCCCGCTCCGTCCTCCGCCCCCTCCTCCGCAAACCCCCGACCAACCCCCTTCCCCTCATCCCCAACCCCGTCAGCGACCTCATCATTCTGCTGCGCTGCAAGGTGCGGCTCCATGTCCCCTGCGCTGCCGAACCCTCCCCGATGGCCACCAGCGCCATTGGCATTAGCAGTAGCAGCAGCGGCAGCGGCAGCTGTAGCGGTGGCGGCGGCCTTTCCCGCCTTCAATTTCCGCCGGGCCTGCGCCTCCGCTAACGTCCGCGGCCGCTTCTTAGGCCTGCCCTCCGGCTGCACCGACGGCCCCGCCTCCTCCAACCCCTCCGAAACCACCTCACGCTTCAACCCCACATAAGGCTCCCCGTCGCCATCAGCGTTGCCGTACACCTCCGCCTCTGGCGCAACCGCCGCTGCCTTTGGCTTTCGTGGCTTCCGGGGTACCTTGGGCGGCGGCGCCGCCGCCGCCACTGCCCCAGCCGCCGCGGCTTCGTCTGCCGCCGCCGCCGCCGCTGCCGGCGGCGGCGGGCCCCCCTTCGGCTTACGCGACTTCTTTGCTTTGGGTGCAACCGCGACGTCAGCGCCATTGTCACCTTCAGCAGTGCCGGTGCCGCCCGCTGCTCGCTTGCCTCGGCCTCTGCCGCCGCCACCACTGCCGCCGCCGCCGCCACCACTGCCGCCGCCGCCACTCCTGGCCTTCTTTTTCGCGGCACCCTGGGAGCCCCCTCCCGTACCTCTGTCACCGCCGCCGCCGTCATGCTCCTGTTCCTCATCCTCATTGCCATTGCCATTGCCGTAGCCCCCGCCGCCGTCATCATCATCGTCACCACCATCATCGTCGTCGTCAAAGCCCCCATAGGCCTGCGATTTCACCCCATGTCATGCCATGTCAACCAGAAACCAACTTAAAAGAACAAGGACATGCGGACATACATACATACATACATACATACATACATACATACATACATACATACATACATACATACATACATACATACATACATACAGCCGCGTGACAGCGTGGCCGTGGCGGTACGAGGAAGCGGAATTGGGGGAGCGCTCGGGAGAGGTGACAAGGAGGGAGTGAAGAGAGAAGAGGGGAGGGAGCAATTGCGTGAGGACAGCTACAGGCGGAGGAGGAGAAGGAGGAGGGGCCTGGACGTATGCCTGGGCTCATGCATCCGTACGACCGTACGACCATGCACACATTTCCATACCTGCGACGCGACCTCGTTGCCGTGTATGTCCTTGTTCTTGAGCTGTGCAATGCGGATCCCATCGGCGCAACCCATCTGGGGCACAGGAACATGGGGCACAGGTGCATGTCGTCGTTGTTGACATGGTTTTGGCAAATTTGTGGCAAAGGCTTTCGAGCAACAAAAGGAGGAGGAGAAGGTGGTAGTAGTACGGAACTTCCCACTGCTGGCCCACCAGGCCTGGTCTACCCTGCCTGGTCTAGGTCTGTAAGGGGAGGGGGTTCCCATGAAGCGACGCGGGACGAGGAGAACTCACAACAAAGGAGAGTGGGGGGGAAGGTACTTGACGGTTTTTAGGGGAGGGGTTCGTCATTCACACAATGCCGCTCCCTATGCTCTCCATACCCATCTCCCTCCCCAAGCCAATCTCCCAGGCCCCCCCCAGCCCCCACCCCAGCCCCCCCCCANCC